CATTGACCTCATTCTTTGTCTTTGTGTCGATAGTCATTTCATTACATCCCCTTCCCCCTTTATTTAGAATCTCTTTTCAGAGTTAATTAGACTGAATTATTGTAATGGCCCGGTCTCCTCCGCTCTCCAACACCAATGTAACATTTCGAGAATTTAAAAGGATTGGGAGATCAGAACCGTTGTCAAATAAAGAAAGGTTAGAACTAAAATGATACTAAATCAGACTAATATCCTCGATTATATATACTTTTCTATAATATTCGTCAAATAAAGAAAAGTTAGAACTAAAATGATACGAAATCTTTATTAAATAATAAGATAAAAACATAATCAAAATAAATTAATATAAATTAAAATTAAAAATTAAAGATTAAAAATTAAAATTAAAAATTAAGTTCGTAAAATCATAATTTATCATTTTTCGCATCATAATTTCTCCTTATATATCCTTTTTCTTTAATCAACATTTGCATAGTCTCAATTTGTACCGAGATTTAATTCTTGTAGATTTGAATATCTTTGGGCTTCGTAATTTTGGTTAAAAGTAATTTGCCTGTCTGGCGTTTTTCTTAATCTAGTAAATTTGCATGTTACCACAATTACAACAGTATCCATTTGGTGTTACCATTGTTAATAATTCTTGCGATTCATCGTCAATGCTCATTTGTAGGTATGCATCTTTGAGATCTAATGTTGTATATTTATTTCCATTCGCTATTTTTGCTATTAATTCTTCAAACGTTAGTAAAATGTGATAGTCTTTTAGTAGGAATTTATTTAATGTTACTTTGAAATCTTCACATAATCGTAGTTCACCTGAAGTTTTACGTACCACTACCATTGGAGTACTCCAGGTTACTCTTGTTGTTGATGGATCTATTTTCTTGATTATATTATTTTCTTCCAAACGTTTCAGTTCATTTTCAATTTCTAATTTTAAAGGCAACGGTACTCTTCTAGCTGGCAGTGCAATTAATTTTGTATTTTCTTCCAATTGTAGTTTTACCGGTTCGACATTTTTTATTAATCCCAATTTATTATCAAACACCGTAGTAAATTCTTTATATAGTTTGTCAATATTTACGTTGCCATTACCATTATCATTGTATTTATATCTATTGTTGATTATATTGATTTTTACATTTTTTGGTAACGGTAAGTCAAATTCGATAATCCATGGAAATCCAAATAGAGCTGCATCATTTGTTTGTGTGACTAGTAATGGAAGCCATTTTATGTTATTATTTAATTGTACTTTTACATCAGCTTCACCCATAATTTTTATTCTATTATTTCCATATGAAGTTGGTGCTTTAGCTCTTCTAAGTTTTGGCCATCCGATTTTATTCCATATTATTTCATTAATAATGGTTACTGCCGAGCCAGTATCATATTCCATTTTAATTTTTTGGTTGTTTATTAATACCTCAATTGTTGAATGATGTATATTTTTCTTATTGAGACATCCGAATCGTCTTCTTTATTATTGTAATTTGTTCCTTAAATCTTTTCTTTAGTTTTACAACATACGGCAAAGTGGTTTGGTTTCCTACATTTGCTGCACAATTTTTCGTAGGCGGGACAATTTCTAATAGCATGAAACCTATTACAGAAATAGCATGGTTTTCTGTGTGGTAGTTATTATACCCGGGCACTAGTTCTCTTTTTACATATGCTTTATTATCCTTTTGATACTGCCTTTATCATTATCATTATTATTATACTGCCGATTATTTTTATCATGTTGATTTATCCGATTATTATAATCATGTTTATTCGGCTCTTTGATTTTATATTCCATTTTAGCAGATTTCTAAGTCAGCTCGTTCCATCGCTAAAGCCAATTCTACAACTTTGTTTAAGCTTAACGGTTGGTCTTCGTCTTTAGTATCTGGATATCTTAATCGTAGATCTTTATCCAGTTGTGACATTTTTAGTCCGGCGATTAATTGATCTCGAATTCTCAGCTTTACATTGTCTTCAAATACGCATCTTCGGGCTAGCTCCTTTATATTTTTTAAATAGCTCATTATGGATTCAGTAGGCCCGCGACTTAATCTAATGAAATCAATTCTTGATGCCAAAATAGTTCTTTCATCTTTATATCGTTGTTTTGCAATTCTGTATATGTCAATCCATCCTACCTTCTCTATATTTCTAGGATAGAGTATTTTTTTTGATATCAGTTATAATGTTTATTCCTCAAGCTATAAATAATTTTTTTAAAGTGGCGTCAGTTTGAGGAATATTTTTCACATTTAGATATCCCATCCCTGATTAAGGATTATAAATGGAATAATATTTACAATTGTGATGAGGCTCTACTACTGAGCATTACCAAAAGGCACAATGGAATTCAATAGAACTCAACCACTGGGTTTCAGTCCAGACAAGGAAATACTCTGTTCTATTTATCATAAATGAGGAAGAATCAGAAAAAAGGTTATATGTTGTAGGGAAATTTAAAAACCATAGGTGTTATAAAAATAATATAATACCAGTGAAATACTCTAATAAAATCAGTTGGATGACAATTTGAAGATATCCTAAGAGAATGAAATTCCTCAGTGAGAATATATATTGTGATGTGTGTATTATTCTATTAAACTACATAATAAGATATTTATTTTTTTAAATATTAATACAGATATAATAAAATTAAATGAATTATAATCTTAATACCAATATTTAAAATACTTACAATATAGTTTTGATATAAAATATTATGGATTAAATTTTATAAGTTCTTCAAATTTTTAAACATCTATATTTATAATAAAATATGAAATAAAAAACATAAATAGTTTGTTATAAAACAACAAAATTGATAAGCTAATATTGACCAACTATTGATATTTACTGGAATAATTAATAAGATTACTGCGAGAGAATAGTACGTAGCCATAATTTCCAAATCGAGGATAAGGGATGTTAAAAATTTATGAGATATTTTATAAGAAAATGAGTAAATCTTTTTCCTCTATTCCTTTCTTATCTTATTTCCCTTCACCCCCTCCTCCCTTTCACTCAATATTCCTTTATTTCCCTATTCCTTTCATTTTCCCTATTTCTATTTTCTATCTTGGCACTAATTTTCATTCTTAGAATAAATTTAATTCTGGCTTGCCATTTTCTTTTAGGAGCCAGAAATTTCCCATTAGACCTGTTTTTTAATAACAATTACTTAAGATCTGATGCAAACGTTGAACAAAGTTGGCATCCACTTACCTCAACCTGTCTTTTCTTATTAAAACATATATCTCGAGTGTCCCATAATCTAAAGATTATGAACAATGATAAAACTACAATGTGTTAGCATCTGATTAATTTCCTATCTAACATAATTGACTTCGACAGAATCACTGGAACAAGATTAGCCCGATATGACACTGCACATTCAACAATGATCTGGCGAAAGGACATTAGATAGTAATCTATTTTTATTATTTATATAAGTTTTAATATAAAATCTTAAAGATCCTATCTTTTTAAAGCTTGAATTGGTCTCAACAATCCATACTATTTATGGATTATTTTGTAAAATTCACTTTAAAACGATATATGATCCGCTATTTTATTATTTAAATCTAATTTTATATCTATTTCAAAATTTTTATAAATAAGATTCTATACCTATTCTTAAGAATCCTACATCATAAAAAACTTGCATAATTGATTCCCAGAATAGTATTCGTCTTTATTCGCGATATACTTATTATTTTGAATAATATTAGTAAATATTTGTATAATTTTTATTACTCATTGTTCCTGAGCGATAAAATTTGCTACTGAAAATTATTAAGGCGACATATATTAAATATTTTTTTAAATTTACCTCCTCATCAGCCCTATGCCTATATTATATTTTCTTATTTTAAACTCTGATATCTCATCTCATGATCCATGGCTATTTGTGATTCCCAGGCTACCCCCATCTCCCCCCCCCCCCTGGCCAAAGATCGAGATAGAGCTAAGCCCTAGTGTGTAATAAGTATTATAGTAAAATCAGTGTCTACATGACCGGGAGGGGTAGGAACAGTTTGCATCCTATTTTTTGAGGGGGTATGGGGTAAGCTTCTTTAATGGGGGTAAGATAAATTTTTTGGGGGGTTATCTATTAAATTTTTAGATGAAATAGGACAAAATTTATTGCTGTAAAAATTAGTACTTTTATTATAGTATTATTATAATACAATTCATCGACCAAATCTATATATTGCAAACAATCATACACATTGTTTTCCAAATAAACTATCCCTTTAAATGTAATTTAAAAGATTTAGATATTTCAGCAAGCTCATAATGCTATGATAATAAATTCATTGTAAATAATGGAGGTTTTAATCTAAAAAATTAATTCTTTATATTCATAAAATATCGATAGTTGATAGTAGAGATAGATTAATTTAAGTTATCCTTTATAAATTCTTTGAAAAGAGTATCAATAAATAAATAGGTGAAAATAATGATAAAGAGACACCGCCGCCGATGGCGGCTAGAATTTTTTAGGGGGGTAGGCAAAGGTTTTTGAAGGGGGTTTGCATCCAGTGAAAATCCTGTCATGTAGACGCTGAGTAAAATTAACCAAATTTTAGTGCTCTGTTCAATTAAAATCGAACAAAATAAAATGCTAAAGCTCTACCTTGTAATGATTCCCGGATGTATGTTATAAAGCATCTAAAATTGTGCTGTTGTTTTTCTGGTAATATTTCTCCTAAATAATTAAATTTCTCCTCATATAGACTATGAAATGTATTTTTAAACTTTAATTCATCAAGACAGACTTGAGCTTGGTCTGAAAAAAGAGAATCAATGCATGGCTCTAGCTTAGTATATAAATATAATGAGTGCTAAGTTCCATACAAACAGATAATCACAAATGAATAATAACATGAAATAAAAAAAAATTTATTTCATTATCCTTTACAACTATTTAAATATATTAACGTACTTATATATTTTATTATAATAAACATGATTTAATTAAGACTAGATAATGTGGTTTATAAACATAATGCAAAATTTAACTGGGTGTTAAATATAATGTATATATTTTTTAATTATACTTGAGTTGATCAAAATAAAAGTAATAAAATACTTGTATAGTAATATATATAAATTAACACATTTATCATGTAAACAAGTATCATCAGAGGAATTTTAATACACTAAACAATAATAGCAAAGTATTTCATTTTTATCAACCAAATCAGAATTTTAAAACCGACAATTAAATCAGATTTGATATTTAAAATAAATGAGCAAAATGCATATTATTTGAATTTTGTCTTTACCAAAGAGTAAAAGCCAAAGCCTCGCTATATGAAAATATATTTCGTGTTTCAATATAATTAAAAGTTAAATTTTAACTCATGTGAAAACAGTGGAAGGAGCCAAACCCTCCTTAGATAACATTTGTGGTAACATTCTTGTTTCCACTGATAAGAAATGAAGCGGTGTCTGAACTACATGTCCTCTAACATTTTTAAGCTTTTCTCTAGCTAGATCTGGGTTAGATTTGGCCAAAGGAATGTTAGACAAATTTTCATCCTTGCTCTCGTTACTGGAAGAATTCGCGATTCCTGCAGAAGCTTTCAAATTGGTTTCGTTTGCTTGAGAATTGAACGATTTTGATGGGTGGGATATTTGTTCAAGTTCATCGGCCGTGAGCAAACGCTGGTTATCAGTATTTGATTGGTAAATCATGTCAGTATCGTTTTTACTCTTCGGAGAAAGGGTTTCTACACCATACTTTTGATATGCGTTAAGCTCGGCAAAATTGGTGGCTTTATCTGTGGGGATACACCTGAAAACCTGTAATATGATAATATTTGGTTTAATATTATATATATTTTTTTAAATATTATATAAAAAAAATGAATTCAAACAAATAAGATTTTTTTTTGGATTCTGTAACATTTCAATGTAATTCAAATTTCCATTATTACAAATGCAATTTATTTAGTTTAATAAAATTTAAAATAATAGAATGAATATATCTAGATATCTTATGAAGGTTATCTTTACTCTATCTATATACTGTTGCATTTTTGAGATCAAATCCTTTTTGAGAATTTAAAAAAAAATAAATAGAGTGATTCCATTTGACTAACCATTCCGAATCAGATCTATTATTTTTAAAAATCACATATTCGACTTTAAATAAGTTGAAGTTTCGTCGGACATAGACATATTGGAAGTCAAAGATTAAAAAAACAAATTTTAAATTTATTCAAAAAAATATTATTATAAATGATTTAATTTGGAGGGAGACCAAAATTTTTATATAAATAACCTCTTCGAAGATCGATGTATTTTGAGAGGCAGTTTGGTTCCAAAGTTTGTAAAATTTGTCTGAAGATGGATCGGAAAAGTCTATTTGACTGTCCTTATCAAGAATTGTCAAGTGTTCCCTTAAAATAAATATTAAAAAAGAGTATATTTAACATTGCTATCAAATATCTTCATGTGCCTATTATATTTTCTAGCTGGCCTGGATTAAAAAATTTTTTTTAATGGGCTTGAGCTGGGCTTAAGCCTAAAATTTAGATTTAGCTTTTTTAAAACAGCTATTAACTTAAAGAATTATTACCATTTTTTTCTTTTAATAATAATGAGTTTTAATATTGTAAACAAAATGATTGCCTAAATACAGTTAAATATTATTTTTTTTTAATACAATAAATTAAATTTTTGGTTTTAAGTTTGATCTGGGCTTGGGAAAATTTTTTGAAACATATTATGGACTTGAGATTATTTTTAATATTAGATATGGGCCGGGTTTAGTAAAAAATCGAGGCCAATGAAGGTTTCTCATTGCTATACGCTATAATCTCCACCATTTTGCTTCTTTTTTTTCAAAAAAAAGTTGAATGTTTTTGGTAAAATAAATAAACTATCATTCTCTTACAAGTAGTGTTTTGTTTGACAAATAAATTAAAATGTTTTAAAATAAATATCAAATAATAATTTTATTTAAGAAAAATCTATACATCTATAAAACAAATAAATAGAAAATAAATCTATAAGGATCATAACTCATGAACTCTAAATAATAGTACAAAACGGTAACAAAATTTATATATTATTTAGAAAAGTAATATTAGAGTTAGAGTGTACAATCAACAATTCTATAAAATTAAAATAATATAACAAGTGGTGTATAATTAAATTCTAATTTTGTTTTTATTCTGGTATGGTAGTAACTTAAATTTTAGTATTAAATTTGGTTTTGGTTTATTTTCAAATTTAATTTGATTTCTATTTAAAAATAAATGCAATTTTCGTTTTATTTTCACCCATCAATTGATTTATTTGTTGGCTGAACCATCCATTCATTTTTGGTTTCATCGCGTTATCTCTTTAAAAAATATTTTGGTACTCTCGTGCTATTATTTAAAATAATAAAATGCCCGTGAACTTCACCCATGTTTCCTCTCTTTCCTTATTGTAGGGGCTGCCTATAACTTTTGTTAGCTTTAAGACTTAGATAAAAGATCGATTTACTTATATTTTTAATCACTGATTTATTCCTTGAAGCTGAAAGACAAAAAAAGAGATACCTCCTATGGCTAGTCCGAGACCTACAAATAATACCCCCTCGTATATAACTAATAATGATATACTTAATAGTCCTAGAGAATCAAGAGATATAACATAAGGTAAGCTCAAACACTCTGAAAGTTACTCTCAAACTTCCATAATATATTATCGGTAGTGATCCTAATTTTATTCACAATTAAAAACTTGTTAAGATGAGCACTTGTATAAATTGATTATAATATATGGCAGAGACCTGCAACAGGCCCAGCCTGTCTTTATTTTAAAATATACCTGGACCTGACATGAAATTTTTCATTTTTAAATACCCGGGCCGGGTTTAAAAAAATACCTGGACCAGGTCCAGGTATTAAAACTAGGGATTTGGGGGGAACGTAAGTAGGGTTTAGCTTGTAGAACCAGAATATTCGACAGTGATTTTATTTATGGTAGTAAATTTTAAAGTAAAATAATATTTCTTAAAACTATAAAGTCAAAATCTAAAATGCTATCAATATTATTGATCCATATATAAGTAATTTTGTTTTTTCTTGTTAATATGAAAGTAAATTGTATGTTTTTTATATATAACGATATATCGCTTTAGAACAGTAAAAAATATAAATTGAACATATTATAATAAGTAAATATCGCCTCAACAGCAAAAAATTAAATATTTTAAATATAAAACATATTATATCACATTATTAGCTATAAAAATTAAAAATAAATTTAAAAATAATCCGGGCCAGGCCGAAATGGTACACCCAGGTCTCTGATATATGGTCGTGTTAAAATTTGGCGATAAGAAAAATGAATGTTATCTCACGAGTTTTATATTTTCAAATAATAATATATCTTTCTAGGAGTTAATTATCAATAGAAAAAGAAAATTATATTTTGTGCTTTAAAGGAAAACTGAAAAACAAAAAAAAAATTTATTCCTTTCCTAAAATTATTTTTAAATATATAAAAAATATTATTTTGAAAAAAGTCTACCTGAAAAGTCTTTTTCTCAAACTCCCGCAAAACAACCCTGTGTGTACAACCTGACCATTTTCGATATTTTCCATTGTCAAAAAATTAGTGTCCTTAAAAATGGCAGCCAATTCAGAGTCCCTGTACCCTAGCATACTTCTATCGTTAATGTTAGCAGATCCAATAATACAATACTCGTCGTCGACTATCATCAATTTGCTGTGGATATATATCAGTTCAGTGACCTAATATCATGCATTAAAAAAAGTGAGCTAAAGGGAATTAAAGAAATGAGAAAAGCTAAGAATGATATTATTAAATAAACAATAGAAAGAGAGCAATAAAGATGAAATAAAAAATTTTTAAATATAGAAAGTAACATAAACATTTTTTGGTAAATTATTTAAAAAAAAAATACAATTAAAAACCCGATCCCATTTTATAATCGTATGCAGTGCTCTTAATAAGTGTTTGATATATTTTAAATATAATTTTATTATTCGAATAGTAAAAATTTTGTAGTTTATAGTTATTTAATTTTTAAAATTCTCGCCATTTGTGAATTTTTTTTCTCACTAAATTACTAATCCTCATTTTTCATTTTTTTATATGAAGTGTAGTTTAATTCTCCAAACTGCAATGCTTTCATTGTAAACATAATATTTTAATTGCATTATTAATGTTTCATATTTGTTTGTGACAGATAAAACACTAGCCTTAATATTTATGGATTATATAATAGTTATTTTACCCTAAATTTTATGAACTATATTAAACGGAAGGTCCTTCAAAATCAATAATAAAGTAAAAACACAATGAATTAATTGAAATTCTTTCATATTATATTAAATAATGTATTAAAATAATAATTCTAGAATATATGATATAATTCGAAAATAAAAATATCTGCAAATTCTTTGATATAAATATTTTTTAGATAAGTTAATGGCCAATAAAATATGAGTTAAAAAATTATTATTAGTACAATAAAAATCTATTTCTAAAAATATTATGTTATATATTTAAATAAGATTTTGAAAATTTGCACAACACTGAATATAGATAATAAATATAGTATAAGTAAAAAATGAAATATAAACGTTGTATTGTGTAAAAAGAAGATACATATAGAGAGAGAGAACAAAAAAAAACCAAGAATATTGTAACTTATTTTACTAGATTTCCGTTCAATTCCGCATAATTTCGGAGGCTACAAAAGCTTATGTATTCGAAGGGATTGTCGACTATATGGAAATAATATATTAAAATTAAAAAAGATACAAAATTTATTTTAATTTAAATAACTATACTCATTCCTCATTCAATAATATTTTTTAATTTCTTCTTATCATATTTTTAGTTCCCTTTATTGACATGATTAATTTACCCAATTTCTTGAGCCTTCCAACCAGTGAATTTTCTCCGTGGGCCATAGAACAATTGTTCCAATGTATGATGGTTTGTATGCATGCTCCAGTTTGTCCTCCTATTTCACCTTCGAAACCTGGGAGCAAGGGGGTCATTATGTAAACCTTGAATCTCTCGTTCGATCTTTAAAAAAAATATTTCGTAATTATTACTGAGAAAGGTACATTGCATACTTTTTATGTAATTTTTAAAATTTTATTGGGTTATATGAATGAAAAATTTTATCGAAAACTCTTTTAAAATGACCGCTAAAGTTTTTATATTAGTTGCATAAAATTAGAATGCTCAATACAATGCTACTATTCAAGATAATAAAATTTGAAGGAAAAAAAATTATTTAATTCACTTACTTTATAGCTTGAGCTATTCTATCATATAGGGCATCGGATATTTTGTTTTTGATGATGGGATTATCGTGGAGCGTTATAAAAAATTGATTCTGATAAAATTAATGAAAAAAAATAGAAGCTCTGAAAAAAAGAGATTTTTTTAATGCAGCGGGATAAATTATATTTTTTTTTTCAATTTCAGCTGATTAAAAATTAAATAAAATTTCAATACTCTTCTTATGTTAAAGGAGTAAAAAGCTAACAAGGAATAAAACCCCATTATCTCATAATTGTTGTAAAAGGAGTGAATCAAAACATTTTAATTTTTTGGGGATATAAAAGAGGTTTGTAAAAATATTTAAATGTAAATTAAGACCTTTCAAATAATTTGACTTTAATTTGTTTGTGGAGTTAATTAATGTGAACGACTATTTCCTTATTTTCAGACAGTCAAAATAGGGATTAACCTGCTTGTCAATTTTATAATTTTTTTCTGTTTATAATTAATGTTAATTTCTCTTCGTTATATTATCATTTTATTAATTTTAACATTTGCCATCGCCAATTCAAATTGAATTGACTTCGGCGATAAATTATTTAATTAAAATAAAATTTAACAGGAACGAGCACTCAAAACATAACCAAACCGTAATCCATTTTAGAAACCAAAGCGTTTTTTGGATAACTCTATTAATTAGCGCGTATATTTTCAATACGTTTTTTTTACCAATACAAGATATACAACTTATATCTAAAGTAAATGAGAATATGCTTTTTTTTCAAAAAACAACAAACTTCTATGTATATGAAACGTTTTGCCTCGGTTATGAGTTGAACGTAAGCCCTTTGAATAGAATCCTCCGTGTCCTTAATCCCAGCGGACCACGTTGTGCTACTCCTTGTAATCTGTAAATAAATTATTTTTAAGTGGTAAGGTAGAAAGTTTATTTAAGATCATGATTACAAACCATTGCAAATTTTTAATATTAGAGGACGGGTAGGCAAATATAAATTTCATTCAATATCCCCTCATCAATCTCCTTCAAAATACCCCTCGCTCTTGACTCAGATATCTAATATATTATAGGCCATTATTAGTGTTAATCTGAAACCTACAGGTCTGGACCGAGAGTCGTAAATTGTATTTGTAAAAAAATTGGGACAGGGCCGATTTAAAAATGATTCGATTAGTTAGAAAATCATATAATAAATATAATGTTTAATATTCATTTACTGCTCTTCAATCTCCACTTAATTTTTTCTATAAAATCTCAAAATTATTCAAATAACGATAAAAAAAATTCGAGCCAGGCTTTATTAAAATTATAAAAAATGTCAGGCTTGAAAATGAATTTCCAGGTACGCCTAAAATGTCGACCTCTGCAGGTTGATGGTCGCTTTTTTATATATTTTTTTGGAAATTTTTTTTTTTTAGCTTTTACTATGTTACTCTTAACTTTTTTCTTAGATTGGCATAAGACATGTCTCATTTCTTGTCTTTTGGAGAATATAGCTAGCTAAATCTATATTCATCTACTTACTTTATCTTGGTCATAATCTCATATAAGCACTTTTCTCAACATATTTGTTAGTTATATCTCTCATGATGAATTAACAATTCTTAAGTAAGCATTAGAGTCCTCAGGGCTCGCCGGTCAGTTGGATAGCGACATATCATCAATAAATATAGCCCGGCATGGCCAGAAAAATATTAATATTTTCTTCTTTGCCAGATTGCATATCAAAATTATAAAAATTTGAAAAATAAAAAAGGTTTAAAAAAATTAGCAAGTGAGAAATATATTCTATTCATTTTTATATCATATTTTGTAATATAAATAGAATAAATGAAAGATCATTAAATTATCAAAGTTATTGGATAACATTAGAGAATAAATTTGATGAGTTTCAGATTTCTTTCCTATACGATTTTTTCTAAATTTGAGCCATGCGCCAATATAGTAAAAAATAATTCTATGATACCACGGACGGGCAGGTCCAAAAAAATCAATTTAGCAAGTCACTAGTAAGCATTTACATCTCAACACAAAATAGATAAAAATAATATTTTTAAAATTAAATATTGATATATCTTCTTCTCTTAATAATGATTATTAACAATTAATATTACTTGTATTTCACAATTGAAGGCTCGGTTAGCTAATTCTTGAGGTACTGTTAGATCTTTAAATGTTTTTGGAAGTAAAAGCGATATGTAAGGGTCTTCTTTGTACTTGTCAATCTTTTATATATAAAATGATTATACCTACAATTAATTAAGTTTAAAAACGTCAAAAAATAAAGGTATATATGATGCCCATTTTATTCATTTTACTTCTTCCTTCATAGAAAAGAATTTTTAGACCTTAATGGAATTATTAAAGGTTTCTTTTAACTTTATTAGTTAGTGATAAATGCAAATTTTTAGAGGAAGAGAAGTTAACCAAAATTATTATATCAAAATTTAAAATTACAAGGTAAAATATTTTTAAACATTATATCTTGTAACATGAACAAGAATTCAACACTTCTACTAGAAATAATAAAAAAATGATAAAGGAATTCCAAATTATGCATTTACCACAGCGTAATTCCACCTTTCTATGAAATGCAAGGCACAATCTGTAGCGGGAAGTCCATAAACAACGCAGCCTATATCGTGCCATGGCATGCGGGGTATACTATGCCTGTCAATCAAATCTGAAAAAGGTTATATGTCTTATTTACAAAAGACTGTTTGTAAGGATATTTTTTTTAAAATGCGAATAACTAAACTACAAGAATAAAGAAGTATATTTTATAATATCTTAAAATCTCATATTTTTTCTAGAAGGAATGATGTAAAAAAAAAGAAGCTCTCAATGGTAATTGTCAAAAAAATAACGATCTTTACTCAACTAGTGTTGTTAAAGACTAATTAAAAATAACTGTAAATCGTTATATTTTTTGGAATGCAACAAAAGTAACTTTTCAATTCACTTTTTAAAATTTATTATTATATTTCACTTAATCTTTTTATCTTTATATGCTGATTTCCCAACCATATAATTATTGTTTATTAAATATAAGGTCTAATTTATAATAAAGCGTTTGCGTAGAACTATTTTGTTTAGTTTAGGGAAATTATTTTAGAAGATAAACTAGCCTACCTTTAGACAAAATTTTTTTTTAAGTAAAATTAAAATTTATTAATCTCAAGTTTTATGAAAAATAAATATTATATTATGTGATTTATATAACGTATATTAAAATGGTGGGTTAGATTTATTTTTATAAGCAACTTGCAATGAAATGAGTTATTTTTGAAATTTAACTATAACTAATTACTTTTGAAATAATGGAACTAAACTATAACTAGTTACCTTTTTTAGGGTGTAACTAGCACTAAAGTGACTTTTAATATTTACGAAACTTTAAAAATATGCCAGAGTGAAACCCATCCTTAGTACCTATGACAAGATTTAAGAATAATATAAAATCAAGTATGCTAAAGATGATCATTATTATTCAATAGTTCACTTTATTTATCTTCTTCATAGAGATTTTCCAAGATTACTTATAATAAATAAAACTAAAAAAAATATATTTATATTATTTTGAAAACCTACGTAAGGCAGGTCGACATGGGCAAAATCTTTGTATATAAAATTGCTGTAATCTTTTCCTATCCAATACTTGCCAGAACCTATCAATAAATAAGATAAAGAAGTTTATATAACATCATAATTATATCGTTAAATAGATGACTACTAGGTGATAAAGCTTATTTAAAAAGGCGTAAAATAATAATGTTATAGTATAATTATTTAATTATACCGATTAAATCTATGTTTAAGGTTAGATCAGATTTGGCATAATAGCAACTATCGTCTGCTATATCGATATCACAAACCCCTCCTTCTCCTACTACTTCTGCTTTTCCATCTCTTTCTTTTTTGTTGTGTACTAAGGAGAGCCGCTTTTGTCGTTTGTAGACTCGCATTTCGTAGTCCGACCTATTTTTTTCGGCAGTCGCTGACACCTTAGTATTAGTGATCTAAATATATTTGCTGACATATAAATTTCAAACCGTCGGGCCATTTTGTTTAGAAAAACATACACACTATAATATGGAAAAATGACAATATTTATTAATCACGAGAAAACCCTATGGAAGAATAAACTGAAGGAGAAAAAATAGGAAAAAACACTCCAATTAAATAAAAACATCGAGATTTATATAGATAAAAGATGCGAATTTAAAGTTGAAGCAAGATTTTATATATTTTTCCTTTTGAAAATTCGAGCATCATTAATTATTTTTAAAATATAACATTCATATAATTAGAAAAAATAATGAGTGAAAGGGATGCTCTTTTATATATTAGAATGTAATGGGCAATTAAATATTTATAATTATTTTTTTAGTTAATTCGATATCTCTCTAGCTATAGTTTATTCATAAATTTCAAAGGAAAATAGATGATTAATGTAATTAGTATGTTCAATTAATAATCTTATATCGAGGGTTATTATATTCCTCCATGGCATATATAATAAAATTATTTTAATTTTACTATTAATTTAAATCAAGAAATAGATTTTTATTTATTTATTTAAAAAAACCATCGCATCGACCTTAGAAAAGTTAATAATTACTCTATAAACAAACAACCACTAAATTGGAAAAGGAAAAAACAATATTAATAGCGATCAGTAATATTGATTATATATATATTCTTCTTGATTCTAACACCTACATAGTTCACAATTTCATTATAGAGAATAGTATTTAAAAAAACGTATGTGCTTATAATTTTTTTTTAAAAATCTTAATAATCTACCCCCCCCCCCTCTTCATCTACCGTGCAGGATCATTGGGTCCTTGTGGTAAGTCATTGATTAACATTTTCGATTATAGGCACAGCACAAACTTATATATATATTTATTTTGTTATAAAGTATTTATTTATTTACAAAATCGCCTGCCGTTGATTCTGTGACAGGATGAATCGGAGGTGAGATCACACGAGGGAAAAATCGTCTACCTTTGAAAGGGCTAGGAAAATTATGTATATGGTGTCTTTCAATATTCATCTCAGGAGGTACGAGTATGTTCTTGCTACTTCTATCGTTTTCAATGATAGGTGAATTATTTAGATCTATTATAAATTATTATTAAAGATATCAAGGGGTTAATTTGAAAAACAGTTTTTATATTTAAGTAACCCATTAATGGGTAATGTTACATATATAGCAAGTTTCTATTTATTGATTTTTTACATATTATTTTTTGGAGCTATAATTTAAAAAGTGCTTTTTTAAGGCTAACATATACTTCTATATAATGTAGCAATTTATTTTTCAGTATGCCAGGTGCCAGTGAATTTCAAATTTTTTTCTCCGATTTAAAACGAATTATATGATGAAGCCCTATTATGCTTATCTAGAAAGGCCATAGTGTAGAGAGAAAACGTAATGTAATAATTATACTTTCTATCATAATGCAGCTGTAAACTGTTATCTTATGTAAAACACCTTAGATTTTTCATAACTTGGACTATAAAAGAAAATTTTTGAATCATCTAGAAACAAAATTAAAGTTATGAAGAAAATGGAAGGGGCCAACTTAATTATCGATTTGAAATGGCAAGTAAAATATTAGTTAGTCTATGTCCTTAACCTTTCTAGGTAATGTTTTCAGATTTAATCGTAAGATTCCACTTTTATCATACATAATCTGATGAATTAATATAATTCCCATAGTGGAGTTACTATAGTATCAAATATGATATAAAATATGGTGCTCCACTTTAAGTCATTTTATTAATGTCACAGTCATAAATCCTTGAAAATAATTAAAGAATACTTACATTTCTAGTGAGATAACTAAAACACTTATAAAAATCCTTTAATAAGAGAAGAACAGTGTACACGCAAAGGAGACCTCCTTTCTTACTAACTAAAACACATTAAATTGATTTTGGACATAATATAACGATAATTATTAGAGAGGCGATGTTATAAAGTTTGTCATAGTCAGAAATATGCAAATACTTAAATCTAAAGATTTATGTCACACGTGTCATCCATATTGGTTGTTTTAAAAAATTATATAATATAAAAAATGTCAATAATATATCTAATAAATGTAATATATCAATATATTTTGAAATTATATATCGTTTTTTAATTTTTTTTCCTATATATATTATAAATTATATTATTTTATATTATGCCCTTACCTTATGTTCAACAGTTCAGATTTCCTATCTGAGATGCCTTTTTCGTGCAGATTCTTTTAGGATTTCTTAATTAGACAATAATTAATAATATCTAAAAAAAATTAGGAACTTTCATTTGATGAAAAAAGTATGATCATTAATGAGTTAAGACATTTTGGATATGGGTATAATGCAGTGGGGGGTGGTTTTCGGGTTTGGACCCCTCCCAGAGCAAAATTTTTTTTTAGATTATACGTTCAAAAGACTTAAAAGTGATTTTATATGAATTATATTTTTCCGGTTTTGATGTTTGTGGAAGGATATTATATTACTATTGAAATTATTCTGGATAGTATTATTATAAAGTCATTGAGAATAATCTACTAAATTATAATAACATATTATTGATGCATTTAAAAAATATATTTAATTATATATTATCGAAGATATGGTTATGATTTGTAAGATGGACCCCCTCTAAGGAAAATTCTTAGCTACGCCACTGGTATAATGTATTTAGATAAAATGGAGTAGTGTTAGAACTACCGATAGTAATGTTAAAAAGTGGATTTCTTATGATTGAACTGGAATCGTAAAAATTGGATCGATGGGTTGTTTCAATGACAATTTTATTTTGGCATTAGCCAATTACTTTCATAGATATCTACATGCTTATGTAGGCTTTTGAATAAAAATTAGTATTTCTGTTATCTAATATTTTTTTCAGTAACAGAATTAATTTAAAAAAAAAAAATTTAACTGTCATTTAAGTCTAGAAAGAAAAATATTTACCCGTCATTTATAATTTTTCCAATGTTTTTTTTAATTAACGTCTTGACTTTTGTTATACACCCGTTTATGAAATAATTTTTAACAAACTTAAAATTTGAAATTGTAAAAAAAAATTTACACAATCGATCCACCGGAAAAAATATTTTTCCGATCCAATCCACTCCATAAACAAAAAATAATCACATTCCATTCCAAAGTTTTCGGAGTTTGCAGACCTCAACTTTAAAGTCTCTAAATGATTCTCTAGTCTAAAATTCTGACTCCAATCTTTAACACATACTAAAACTGTTGTTGAAATAATAGTTAGAATAAGCTTAATATCAAAAACTGATTGAAAAGCAAAAATAGCCATAAACCTTTAAATAAAATAAAAGTTTAAATTTATTTTTATAATTCAATGTGAACTTTTGGAAAATACCTACGCCTTTCGAAAATATTTATAATCAATTTCCTTAAAAAAAATAAATACGCTGGCCTCGCCAACACTATGTTCATTCCTATCGTTACCAATACCCTAGGCATGTTTGGAAACGAGACCCTCAATTTCATTAAAATCATAGGAAAAAAAATGTGACAGATCTCAGGGGACCCCAATGAAGAATTTTACCTTCGCCAGCAGATTTCCCTGGGAATTTGCCGGTCTAATTTTTTAAGTATTCACTCTTCTCTTGGATGATATATACCCCCCTTTTTTTTAAAAAATATATATTTTTTTTTATAGTCCTTTTTAATGTCTACATAGATTATATATATATTATATATTTATTTTTTTTATATTTAATTTTTAATATATCCATTTTAATATATATTTTTTAATCCTATGTAATTTAATGATTATGAATAAATAATAAAGTTATAAAAAAAAAATTAATTAACCTAAATCTAGAAATTGTTTGATATTTTAAAAAATTGTGTTAAAAGAATGAGAAATGATTTTTAAGGTTTAAAGCAGAAGCTGAAATCAGGGTTTTCTAATCGGAAGGAGATATGACGTAAGATCGACACTGAAATTGGATGGAGGGAGGTAGTTATGAAGACATTATTAAAAATGAAGCTGATTAGTTTTGATTTGGATTTAACTGGGATATCATCCTCTCCTCCTTTGGCTAATTTGATTTGGTGGTCGAGATAATATTTTATCTTTCGCGTAGGAGCCCTGAGATCTTGTGCTACGCTTCAGAATTTAGGTCTAATATTGAATTCAATATAATGCTTGTTCTGCGAAACATGCCAGCCCATTGGGCCATATAGAGTAGCTCGAGCTGTTTTATCGGCTTCTTATTCGGCTGAACAATTTAATAACACCAGTCCTCAATATACTCAATATGGGATTTATAAGAATTTAGTACATTTTATTTACATGAACCAACATAATTAGATCATAAAATTTAGGGATTTTCGACTCTTGAAAGCGTAATACAAATTTCTATTGGTGGTTAAAAGTGGTCCAAGTTAATATAATAATAATTGATGATAAAAATGTATCGATATCGAAAATTATTAAAAAGATGTGTTCATATTATTGGAGATTTTTAAGGGAAACTTAGAAATACTTAAAAAATAAAGATTTGTAAATAATGCGTTAAGAATTAGTAAAATAATTTCTAAAATGCTATTCAATGAAGGATATTGGATTTTAATTATTGGCCAAAAACTGTATGATTTGGCACATTATATAATAAGCTTTTGTAAATATATTTTTTTCTCTTTCTTTCCATATCCATCCACTATCTAAAATAAGTAGAATTTTTTAAATTTTATTACCATGTTGTATATCGGCCCTTTCTTTTGTTTGAACGCTACTGGAACCACTCCCTAGCGAAACTCTAGGGGAAGGTTTTCGAGACGGCGCAATGCCGCCTCCTCCGGCTTTCTTGATCTTGCCTGCTATACCCGTCATTTTCATTTTGTTAACCTATGATATAATTCATAAGTAGTATTAACTAACAAAATTTATTTTAATAGATCTTGACTTTCAAATAAAACAGTTGCTATTATTGAATCATTTGTTAATTACTAATAATTTTATATTTATGCTACCTATTAGAATGAAGCCTAATAATTTATTTATATAAAGTATAATCATTTATTTATCTATTAATATTTAGTCCGATTATTAAGTATATTAATTTTTTAATCGATTGTATTTGATAAATTTTGTGAGTTTTAAAAATAATTTTGATAATTTACAATTCTTAGTAGCAGTAGTAGTAGAAATATTAATTAAAAACGATCTTCGGTAAAAAATTATAAGCATACCAATTTTTGAGGAGTAGACTCGGTCATCGGAATAACTTTTCTTTCTTGAATAATATTAGATTCGGGGTTTAACAATCCCCTTTTCGCGTTCAACATATAGTTTTTCTTTAAATTAAAAAAAATAAATAATATACTAGTTGAATAAAGGTTACTAATCAATCAATAATATGAAGTATAAGGGTATAATCCTTGCCTATCTTCGGGCCGGGCCTAATTCTATTTAAAATAATCGAGCCGGGCCTAATATTTTTTTTTAAAAAATCGGGCCGGGTCAGGTCGGACCTTGGAAATATTTTTAAATATATCTAAATTTATCAATTTTATATTGAATTTTTTATGTAAAATAAAAATATTTGATTTTATTTATTGAAACTAAACGACATATAACATATGTCTTTTATTTTGAGTAATTATAAAGATTAATTTCTATATTTAAATAAGGCTGGGTCGGTATATTTTTTTAAAAAAAATTTCGGGTTCAAGCCGGACCGACAAAACTTTTTAAAAAAAATTCGGGCCGGGCCGGGCTTGAAAAATTAGGCCCGATGCAGATCACTACTATAAATATCTAAAATATGAGAAAAAGAAAACAAATATGAAGAAGTGAACATTTATCAAAGATTATTATAAACTTGGCTCAATATAAATTTATTGGTAGTTATTTATAAATTTTCTCAAAATAAAAGTGTGAAAAAGTTTTATACCTCTTCATTAATAGCATCGCAAGCTCCTTCATCACCTAAATCAGTTAATCTTAATTTTAAAGAAAATATTTATATTATACCCATAATTGTTATATATATCAGAGACCTGCAGAGGTACCATTTGAACGGCCCAACATGGATTTTTTTAAAATATGTTACATTAATTTTTATAGCTAATAGTGGCGATTTTAAATATTCGGTTTTAAAATATACAGTCTGCCGGGTATTTTTTAAAAAAATATATAGGCCCGGGTATCAATATAAAAAAATTTTATAGACCAGGCCCGTGTATATTTATAAAAATCAACCCGGGCTGGGCCTATAGGTCTCTGATATATATTATATAATAGGGAATATAAATATTGGAGAATATACTCAACTTTACGATAATAAATTTTAAATCCTTACCACTAGTTAATAAAAAAAAGAAGTCAACCAGAGTATGAATCCTAAACTAAGGTCCAGGTCTTATCCGGTTTCTGAAAAATTAAAAAAAATTCTAGTTCCAGCTTAAAAAGATTTGCCACGGGTTGTGGTTTTTAGGTTTGTCCTGGTTACGACCAAACTCTGAGCTTTATCGTCTGCTAATCATAATGCGTGTTGAGACATTGTACTCTCATTTTTATTGAATATCATTTATATAAAAATGGAAGATCTTAAATTATACACCTTAATTTTCTCATACCTTATCAGGAAAATAAGAAATGATTTTGTAATAGGTTAATTTCAGAGTTCGATTATACTCATCTATCCGTGAAACCTAAATTAAAGATCAATATACTTTAAATAACGATAATCATAAGACAACAAAACACTTATCTAGTGTTGTTAAACGGCTTAATTTGAGCTGATTTTAAAAACGGCTAACTCAATATTTTATCCAGAAAAATATTGTGCAAGCCTAGAGATTTTTCTTATATATGACACATAGGATTGAACATCTATTGGCGAAATCTCGGCGCTTAGGTTATATTTTCCTGGCTATAATGTTTAGCTAACCCTTTTTAAAAATAGGCTCAAATCGAGCCCTTTAACAACTCTACCCTTCCTTGTCAAATGAAAAAACTGTTCATTCTGTTATTGATCAAATTATACTAAAAATAAGAATCTCTTTTTAAAACCGTCTCAGTTGTTATGTGCCCAGCCAAATTTAAAGATCAAAATGTACAAAACAATAACTCCTAATTACAATGATATAATTTTTACAAGACCCTTATCAAATGGAAAAACTGTTCATACGGTTACATACTAAAAATAATAATCTCATTAAACTCTATGCTATGTGCCCGTGTATCAATAAACCTCCTGTTACCTTATTGGAACAATTAAATCTTAACATTATACCAAGCACCTCTTTTGATTTCAATTCCAAAAGACATTTCATGCTCAACAAGTGTATAATACTTCACTTGGAATTAATCTGCATTAAAAATTTAGCCTACTCCAGATTTAAATTATCTCAAATAACATCCAACATTGGATCTATGATAATCCTTGTCTACATCATACTTAATTTATATATTTATCTACCTTTGATACCTCTCCTTATACAATATATATATCCTGCATAAGTTATCATCTAAATTTTAAATTTATGTCAAATTTTATCTCCCATTTTGATGACCCAAAAATTTTCCTATGTTTTGATAAGAGGATGGCAAATAAAAATCCAAATAAATGCTATATGTCCCTTATGCAATAAATCTACAAACATAACCAAAGCTAGGAAGTTTCAAATTCATGGTCCCCCATCCTCTAGATGTCGAGGTTCAGGGTTACCAAGTATAACATCTACTGTTCCTCCTTCATTCAGTTTATTAAATTTAGCAAGCCCCTCCCCCTTACCTTATTGTTGCTAAACTTCTAACCCACAATCATGGCTAATGATTTTTTATCACTACCCAACTATCCCATCATATCCCGTATACCACGGGGTGCTCGTAATTCTTTCGCAGAATCCTTAACAAATTAATCCACTTAACAGTAAACAATCCTGGAAACCTTTTAAATTAGAAAAATTTACTAAGCTACACCAATTTCACCCTTAAAATTCCCGATAATAAAAATATCTTTTTATCAACATCAATTTCCCTCTTCAATCCTGATTCTATATGCCCCTCTACTCCCCATACTTACCAATCTAATCCACTCCCCGTGGCTCGTAAGGGCAAAATAGTTTCAAATAAAATAAATATCCTCAACATAAACTAAGTCCTTCGCGCCATGAGTTCTGAAGACTCTCTAGCTCCCTACAACGAGTTCATTCTAGAATTTCTAAAACACCCTACATGTGAATCAGAATTCGTTTACTCAAGCCAAAACAATCATTTAGCTTCTGATAACAACATCCACGAGACACTTAAAGCAGTTAGATCTTTTAAAAAAGATTCTTCTGGAGGCCTTGATGGCATTCGTGCTATCTTTATCCATGACATTTTACAACTCAACATTCCATGTAAAGCCCTTTTACAGAACCTTACCAGGTTAAATATAATTCTCAACGGGTCCTTTCGATCTCCTATCATTCCTATTCTCTTTGGCGCTCGCCTAATAGCCCTCAAAAAAGGACAGAGCTATTCGTCCAATCGCTGTTGGGTCTTTCTTTCTTCCGAAGAACCGTCTCCAAGATCATTGCTTCACGAATCAAGGAATCTCTTTCCTCATTAAGGTTCGGTGTTCCCAGAGGCGCTGAAATTTTAGTCCATCTTGCTAGTATAACTATAACTAACAGTATCACTGATCTGCTCAATCTATTAACGATAATGGATCCACTCCTTTAGATTCTGATCTTTCTCAGGCCTTCACCTTCTTCTGGGACAGCAATTGCCCATCCACCCTTTGTCGTCCTGCCTCCAGCATTTAAAAAGACTGGGATGCTCCTTTGATCGCCCGTTCCGTTGAATACCTAATTTCGAACAGGTCCTTTGAGGACAATCCCAATAATTTAGTATTATATGCAAACTCAGGTTACGAATGGTGAAAAGCCATCCCCAGTTCCAATCTTGGCCTCCTCTTGACTGGTGAACAGCTATGCATTTCCATAGCTCTCCGCCTTGGCGGTAATGCTGTAGTTCCCTCCATTTGTATCGACTGTGGCCATCCCGTTGAATCGAAAGCTTACCATACCTTGCACTGCAAGTTTTCCCATGGACGACAACGGCGTCATAAATCTATCAACAACATTCTTCTAGCTGCTCTCAAAAAAGTTAATATACCATCCACCCTCGAAACAGAGAGCCTTTTAAACAAAAACGCTATACGCCTCTATGGGATATCCCTCATTCCCTGGACTAATAGTCTCCCGCTCGCTTGGGATTATACCTGTGTCGATTTTGCAGTAAGGTCCAACCTCTCATTTTCTGCCATTGAAAAGGCTGAAATCCTAAAAAAAATAAGCTGACCTTACACCGTGTTCATACCAATCGTTACTAATACCCTAAGTATGTTTGGAAGTGATGCCCTCAATTTCATTAAAATCATAGGGAAAAAATGAGACAGATCTAGTGAAGGTCAACGGTCCGGTCCTATCGGTCTTAGACCGGGACCGGACCGATCTTTTTGTTGAGGACCGTGGTCCGGACCGGTCTTTTATTAATATTTAAGTTTACTTTACTATTCAATTAATATAATTTTTTGTATATTTTATTTTATGATATTTTTCTAGAGGAGTTATTTTAGATTTTGTTAATTTTTTTTTTACAATATGAAAACCATAAGTTTGTCCAAGAAACATTTTACTTATAGTCCTAATAAAAAACATAGAATATGTGTTCACTGTAATACCAAATTTAACATATCGTCAGCAACAAGTAACAAAATAATTGTTTATAATTTTTTAAGCAATAAATTAATCAAAATAAGCAGTATTATTATTAAAATATTTTGGTTATTATTTATATATCTATTTTTTCTTAAGAAACTGTCTGAATAATTCATTGTCAAAATAATTTAACCTTATTCTTAATAAAATAATTAGGTACCTTAAGCAGACATTTGATAAAACATAAAATTTATACTTCTAATAATGAAAATATCTCAAAAACACAATCTACTCTTAATTTAAATATGCCCCCCCACAAGTACAAAATCACTTTCTTCAATACCATTGTATAAATTCCAAACAGATCATATGAACCAACTCATTATAAAATGGGTAATAATGGACTCTCTGCAAATGAAGACTTTAGAAAGTTCAGGTCTTCATAATTTAATCAAATATTTAAACTCAACTGCTATAATTTGGTCAAAAAACAAAGTTAAAAATTTTTATACAGCTAATTTTGAGAAACTAAGAAATTCTCTAAAAGATATTTTAAATAAAAATAATTCTTTAATAAGCTTTACCACAGATATGTGGAGCAATATAAATAATATTTCATTTATAGCCATTACTGCACACTATATTGATTCTTCTTTTACATTAAAAAATATTTTACTTGATATAAATCATATCCCATTTCCTCATACTTCTGAAGAAATATCCTTAGCTATAAAAGAGGTAATTTATGTATATCAATTGGAGAAGAATATACTGGCCTGTACTACGGATAATGCCAATAACATCCTAAAAAGCATGGATATTTTGCGGAATATTTATAAGGAACAAAAATTTAAAGGCTTTAGATGCTGTGCCCATATTCTAAACCTAATATCTCAGGAAGGTTTATCATATATTACAACTATCCTAGAAAAGTGTAGAGACATAGCCTTTTCTATAAATAAATCACCCAAAATAAATCAAGCATATGTACAAATATGTGAAAATAAGGGTATTACAAAATTTAAAATCCCTTCTGATATCCCTATTAGATGGAATAGCTCCTATTTAATGATGAATACAATTTATGAGGTATTTACATTTTTATCCAATTATTTTTAAAAAATATTTAATTTTTAGAACATGGATGCTATAGAAGAAGTACTTTTTTTGAATTACAAACAATTTAAAGTGGTTTTCTTTACTGAGTGTGAAAAAAAAGACCTTAAAGAGACTGTAGATTTTCTAAGGCCCTTCTATAAAACCACACTTGATTTATCAGGATCCAAATATCCTACAGTTGGGATTTCCATGTTATATATGGAGAATATAAATAATGAAATTTAAAATAATATAAAAAAGGATAATAAAAATACAAGAAAAGAAATTCTTAATAACATGCTGGTTAAAATGTAGAAATATCTCAAAGAATTATTTTGCTATGAATCATATGTCTCAACATTATTGGATCCGAGATTAAAACAAGTTTACATGCCTAATACTCTTAATAGAATTGAGTATATGACCAAATTTTCAAAATATTTAAGGAAAATAAAAAAAATACAGGAATAACGGATTCTCAGGTATATTTTTAATATTTATTTATTAAATCCTAATTTTCAAACATTTGCGCCAGGAGGAAATCAATGAATTTAGTTTTTTAGAAAGAATTTTATCCCAAAAAAAGAAATTCAGAAGGGGATCATATATACGTAGAAATCATTGAAGAAAATATATCCTTCACACCTATTTGAATGAACCTCTTGTTTCATTAAAGGATTACATATTAGTATGGTGGAAAGCCAATAGTGAAAGGTCTTTTATATTTTTTAAATAGTCATAATAGTTTATTATATAGATTTCCAGTCCTCTCATTAGCAGCTAGAAATTTTTTAGCAATTCAAGCAACATCTGTCCCCTGTGAACAAATATTTTCGAAAGTAGGAGATCTTGTCACTAAAAAAAAGGAATAGGCTTTCAAACAAAACAATACAAGCTTTGATGTGTATGGGTTCTTGGTTAAAGAATGGAATAGATCTACCGCCTCCATTAAGTCCCTCTTCTAATTCCTTCCAAGGAAGTTCTACAAACAAAGGCATTAGCATTTATTTAAATTAAATATTTGTATTAATTATTATATTATTCATAATAATTTTATATTGTTTATATAATACTCTTATATTTAATAAAATGATAAAACAAATTAAATTAGGTTAAAAAAAATATGTTTTTTAAACAAATAAAAAGACCGGTCCTAGACAGATCTTTTTATTTAGGACCACGGTCTTGATCGATCTTTTTTTAAGGACCGTGGTCCGGTCCGGTCCGAGGGTATCGGTCCAGTCCGGACCAAAGACCGGACCGTGACCTTCACTAGACAGATCTCAGAGGACCCCGATTTTACCTTCGTCAGCAGATTTCCCTGGAAATCTGCAGGTCCAATTTTTTAAGCATTCACTCATCTCTATTAGTGTTGTGAAACGGCTCGATTTGAGCCGATTTTTAAAAACGGCTAACTCAATATCTTAGCCAGAAAAATATTGTCTAAGCCTCGAGATTTCACTAATAGATGTCCAACCTTTGTCATAGCTATGAGCTAAATCTTTAGGCTTGCATATTCTTTTTCTGAATAAAACATTGAATCAACAGTATTCTCTAGGATGATATGTACCCCTTTTTTAAAATTTTTTTTCTCAGTTCTTTTATATATATATTTTTTTAAATTCATTTTTAATATTTGCTTATTTGTTTTTTAATATATATATTTTTAATTATTTAGAGTATATATCCTATTTTAAAATAAATAAAATGATTTGACCAATAAAAAAATATTTGAGGATCAAATATAAAAATATAAAATTAATAAAAATTCTCACCTATGTTGATGATCATCCCATCTTGCGTAACATATATCCAGCCCTCCCAAAAAGCATATCCTCTGATCTATGCACACCATCTTTTCATGATGAGCCCACATATAAACTTGTGATTTGAGGTGGTCCGGGTGTCTTAATACCTTAAGATTTTATATAATAGAATATCCTTTTTAATCAAAATATATATCATTCTTTTCTTTTATCTATCTTTTTTATTATTTTCAAGAAAAATATTTTTCAAAATTAAAAAACGAACTATAATGTTGTAAGGATGCAGATTCCTGAGAGCTTGCTTGGTATAGAAACTGTTAATACCAAGGGCCAAAGCAACCTCTTTATAAATCATTATGTAGATTTTAACACCATCTTCCTAAAAATATATAAATTTATTATTTTTATATTTCTTTATAATAAACTCTATCTCCAGATTCTGTATCTTGAAATTAATGAAGTATAGTTTAAAAAATTGGAACAATAATTTGAAGAAAATTAAATAATTAATAGCAATTTTCACTAATGCCCTGATCTAAATTTTAATATTTACTTTTCATATGGTACATTTTAATTTTTTTTGAAAATGATTAGGGTAATTCAATAGTCCTAGGATGAAGTAGTATGACTTACTTATTGCTGAACCATTTTATACTAATAATAACATTCCATTTTTCCATTCAGTAATTAAGATTTTATAATTAAAGTTACCATGAGACATGTATAATTAAATATGTTATAATTACATATATATCTAGGCCTAAAAACATAATTTAAAAAAGTATGATATTACCGCTTTTTTCCTCAATATATTATCGAGTCTCCATTTTCCGCAATCCTTATCCAAAGGTCTTTTCAAATAGTATTGCGGACTTAACCTTTTCATATTACATAATTAAATAAATTTGGAATTGTAATTATGCTTAATTGTCATTTAACAAAACTATCAAAAATTAAAGATTTGGAGAGGAATTTGTTTCCAAAACATTTTCTATCATGTAGACGATGCTCCTCTGTAAAATATAACGGATTCTTAGGGGTAGTGAGCAATGCGAAGCAGTCAATAAGAATTTATTAGGCTAACGGTCAAACTAAGGCCTGATATAAAGACTATGGACCTCGTTCGAGATTAACTTTGGGCCATGCTACAAAAATAAGTGTTAGAGTTTTTATTAGAATGATAAAAAATTTTTTTATTATACAACAAACCAATAAAATCTAAATAAATCAAGGACTGTTGAAGCAAATAAGTAATTATTAGTTTCAACAGAACTACGCGGTTCAAACTAAGACCTGATATCAAGCTAATGGGCCATATTAGCCAAGGGCTAGTCTTCAAGAATAATGGCTATGGCTTATATTATATTATGAAAAATACTATAATTTATTAATCATTAAGCTCACATTCGTAGGCAAAATTTAACAGATACCTATTAGTTGTCATAGCTTATTATTTGAAAACATAATTAAAAATAAAAATTTTACAAAATATATCAATCTTCAAAAATAAATGTTATATTGTCCCCGAGTATAATTATGTTTTCAAAAAATTGCTTACAAAGCTATGACAACTAATTATTGATTGAGTATGGATAATGATTAATTTTGTATTTTATTATTATTTTTTCTCCCGTGAATTCGAGAGAAATCAATAATAATAAAGTTGTATTGTTTATTTTGTGAGTAATTAATAAATGGGTATATTTTTTTAGCTAAGGCTAAGCCATAGCCGATTTTTTTTGGCTACGTATAAGCTTTAGCCGATTTTTTAGGCTATGGTTAAACCTTAGACTTTTTTAGGCTAGGGTTAAACCATAGCTTTATTTTTGGCTACGACTCCTGAACCGATTTAATTCTGATCGGCTAATGTCCGTCGGTGTTCCGTAAGTTATGCCTAGCCTTAATTACTATTTATTTATTTATATTTTTATGATAAAAAAGATGTCAAGCGCTATTGTTTTGTTATAATGTTTTTGTTACATTTTACTAATGAATATTTCTCCCATTTAAGCGAAAAAAAGATTTTTGAGCATATATTTTGTTTTTAAGGAATTCTTTTGTGTTTTTATAAAACAATTTTGAGGTGAAATCTTTTATATTTTTTGATCATTTTTGTAAAATTATCTCTTTATTTTATGTATATTAAACGTGGTTTTTCTATATAATTTTTTTAAATATAATATCTATATATTAAACTTTTTTATGTTATTTTTTTAATATTTTTGAAATATTTTGATGTAGAGTATAATCATAGATTGTAAAGATGTTAAATTATAAATTCAATGACGATGTTTTCAGGAAAAATGACAGTTGTAATAATAGGTATTTTTAAACATGTTTGAATTTTTAGCGAACGGTTACAAACATATATTGCAAAAATGTTAAATTATAAGTAGTTGTTCTTTGGAAAAATGACAGTTGGTATTTTTAAACTTATTTAAAAATTTTTTAACGTATATAGGCAAAAATATATATTGTTAACATGTTAAATTCAAATTTCAATGAAAATCTATCAGAGAAATTGTCAATTAACATAAGTGTTATTTTTAATTTTTTTTGACACAAATGGACAAAAATATGTATTATTAACATGTTAAATTAAAATTTCATTGAAGATGTACCATAGAAAAGTGACGATTGTTATAATCATTAATTTCAAATAAATTTGATTTTTTTCGACGCAAATGGGCAAATGTGTTTGTTAACATGTTAAATTATAATTAAAATGCACCAAGGAAAGTGAAAATTGTCATAATCGTCTTTCTTAATTTCCATTTTTTTTGAGAAATTATTAAAAAAAGATATTTTGTTAAAATTTATTGAAATTATAATTCAGAAAAGTGACAATTGTCATAATCGTCTTCAGGCTTGTTAATCGATCCTTTTAAAAAGATCGAATCCCTATCACGATCTTTTGAAAAAAAGAGGATCGAAATCAAGGATCGACCTTTTTTTATTTAAATTTCTGATCGATACAAAATTAACTAATATAAAAAAAAAATATGTATAAATTTATTGTAATTGAATAATATAATATAAGTATAACAATTAGAATATATTTATTTATAATTAAATTAGCCTTTAATAATAAAATTTTTTCTAAATTATCACCATTAAAACAACCACGTTTTTCATTAAGTATATGTTTAGCTTTACTAAACAAGCGCTCCACTGGAGCGCTTGATGGTAAAGGTGTGTTATATTCAATAAATGTTTTTTTTAATTAACATAATTATTAAAAATATTCACTAAATCATCATTAGAATAAAAAAAATTATTAATGGAAAGAGCAATTTGTGACGAGTTTTTCCCAAAAAAGGTATATCCATGCATTCATTTGAAGGATCTGCATATGGTTGACCCTGTAATTTTCTAAATGGGCAATTAGCCTTTCTTTTAACAATAAATTTTGTGGCAGATTAATAAAAGGCCAATTGAGCATAAACTTTGGGTGAATTATTGATGCCAATATATTACTGTCATCATATATAGTGAAGGAAATCTATAATTTTTATTATGTGCATATTGTTATGATCTTCACAAATAATAAAAATTGTATTTTAAAAAGAATTAATCACTTCTAAATGCCTCTTTAAGTTGACTGCTAATCTTTGAAGAAGATATTTTGTTTTTGCACAAAGAGCATTTTGCATAAATCATTGTGTGGTTACTTCCATCCATTTCACATAAAGTAAAATACTTACGTAAATTATGAAATGGCAAAAGATTCTCATTCTCACTTATATCTGCTGTCACATCAATAGAAGTAGATGTATCAAATCTATAATGGAGGAAATTATTAAAACCTAGAATTTATATTATAATATAATAAATAAATATAACTTGTTCTTACAAAAAATTTGGGAAATTAATGAAATATAAAATTTGGTGGAATGGTGGTTGATAAAATATCATGTAGATAGATATTTTTTTTAAATAATATTTAAATTTAATTTTCAAAATTTTTATTATATTTATTGCTTTTTAAGTAAAAAAATAATTTTTAAAAGGATCGGGATCGAATATTTAAAAAAATGATATCGATCACGATCCACAATTTAAGGTCAGGATCTTAAATCCGAGAAAATTAACAAATTTAGGAACGAATCCAGGATCGGCGATCTTTTGATTCGATCCTTTAACAACTCTGCGTCTTTCTTAAACTTTTCCAATTTCTGTGAGAAATATGTTGGTAATATTAGCGAAAAAAATAAGGAAATTTTAATGCTCATAATCGTCGTCCCTTTTATGCTGCTTAAAGTTTCAAAAAATATGAAAAGTGGTGACTGAAGAGGGTTGAAATTCATGTATGTATACTAAGTAAAAAATAGATTATTAAAGTATAAATTAATTCCGGTGATTAATTAGAGATTTAAGTTATTATGATGATGCTCAAATTAATGGTTGTTGCTTTGTATACTTAGCCGCGAATTCGCGTTAGCTATGAAAGCAAGGTAAGATATTTAAAAGAACTTAAAATCATATGAATTTTATTTGTCAATGATATAAACAGTACAATCAACATACTATAAATTTAATGTTAAGATTGTGAATTTATAAACATATGGAAAATATAGATTTTTCCTCAAATACATGGACAAATTGGCATTTTTTAAATATCCATTCGGGACATGAATAAATGTACAAAAATAGTGATATAAATTCTAATCCTAATATAAGAACGAAGATGATTATGACAATTACCAATTTTCTGATTATAATTTCAATGAATTTTAACAATATATCTTTTTAAATAATTTCTCAAAAAAAATTGGAAAAGTTTTAAAAAATGACGTATGACAATTTTCTCTTTCCTATGGTAAATTATAATTTAACATGTTAACAATATATGTTGCTGCTCATTTGCGTCGAAAAAATTCGAATTTATTTGAAATTAATGATTAAAACAATTGTCACTTTTCTATGGTACATCTTCATTGAAATTTTAATTTTACATGTTAATAGTTCATATTATTGCCCTAAATATGTTTAAAAATAATAATTATAACAAATGTCACTTTTCTATTGTACATCTTCACTGAAGTTTAATTAAAAATGTTAACAATACATATTTTTGTTCATTTGCGTCAGAAAAATTAAAATATGTTTAGAAATAAACGATTATGAGAATTGTCATTGGCATAGAGCCATTGGAGTTTTAGTTTAACATGTTAACAATACATATTTGCCCATTTGCGTCAAAAATTCAAAAACTTTAGAATTAACAATTATGATAATTGTCAATTTCTATGGTGCATCTTCATTGAAATTTCAATTTAATAGGTTAATAATATCTATTTTTGCCGATATGCGTCAAAAAAATTCAAATATGATTAAAAATAACGATTATGACAAATGTCACTTTTCTATTGTACATCTTCATTGAGGTTTTTATTAAAAATGTTAACAATTATGACAAATGTCACTTTTCTATTGTACATCTTAACTGAAGTTTTCATTAAACATGTTAACAATACATACTTTTGTTCATTTGTGTCAAAAAATTAAAATATGTTTAGAAATAACGATTATGAGAATTGTCACATTTTTATGGTATATAACCATTGGAATTTTAGTTTAACACGTTAACTATACATAATTATGCCAATTGCTTCAAAAATTCAAAAAACTTTACAATTAACAATTATGCTAATTGTAAATTTCTATGGTGCATCTTCATTGAAATTTCAATTTAATAGGTTAACAATATCTATTTTTGCCGATTTGCGTCAAAAAAAATTAAAATATGTTTAGAAATAACGATTATGAGAATTGTCACATTTCTATAGTATATAATCATTGGAATTTTAGTTTAACACGTTAACAATACATAATTTTGCCCATTTGCGTCAAAAATTCAAAAAACTTTAGAATTAACAATTTTGATAATTTTCAATTTCTATGGTGCATCTTCATTAAATTTCAATATAATAGGTTAGCAAATATATTTTTGCCGATAGGCGTCAAAAAAATTAATTCGAATATGACAATTGTCATTTTTCCAAAGAAAATTATCATTGAATAATTTAAAATATTTTCAATAAATTTTTTTAACCGTTTGCGTCCGGAAATTTCAAAAAGTTAAAAAATGACGAATATGACAATTGTCACTTTAAAATAATCCTTAAAAAATTATAAAAAATAACACAAAAAAGTTTAATCTATAAATATATATTTAAAAAAATTATATAGAAAAAACCACCTTCATCAAAAAAGAGGTAATCTTACAAAACTGATCAAAAAATATAAAAGATTTCATCTCAAAGATTGTTTTATAAAGAAGATTTAAAATTCTAATCAAATCCAAATATATGCTCGAGCTAGGCCCACCGGTCAGAAGAGGAGAGACAGTACAGTTCCCAGATTGGCTTAAAACGATAAATGAATATCTATAGAAACTGAGGCGCCAACTGCTCTCTCCTGAAGACCCGCAAGGATATGAAGATTCAAACTAGGATAATCTTTCCATTCCTTCCTTCCCGTCAGTACCAATCGCGGACAATCTCCCGCCCGAGTGGTAGTGACTAAGGTATACAATCCGTCAACAGCATCCCTCCGTCAACAGCAGATCGGAGGACGAAACAGCGTCTATCATACGTGCCATAGGTAGGATCAGCTCTCCCAGCCATGAACGACATCCTCACAGGTATCGTGAGCCATGGAGGACGAAGGATACACAGACAGTATTTCCACCAATTACAATATAAAACACTCATACCGGACAACACCCGACGGCGACTCGCTCGTTCGAAATATTCGGCAACATTCATACCAACATCAGGCAATCGGTGGCCTGCTCGCTGCTAGAGTCTTAGGAGTCATCAACCACTTCGTGTATATCATCATGGGAATGTCCAGGCTCTTCTCGCCGTACTACAATACCATGAACAGCGCAGAGCTTACGCCATTAATAAACTCATAAATGGCCTTCCAAAAGGCGCAGATCATCGTTGACGCGCTGCAAGCACCCATCAGCATTAGATATCCCGCAAATAATGCGGTATACACGGACGCATGAAATTCACCGGAATATCCTTCTGGGGAATCAATAACCTGTCAATTGCTTACAAAGAAGCAACTCTGGTGTTTAACATTACTACTCATGATATATAGCACATAAACGCTAAGGATCCTGGCAGTAGGAATTGGAGCAATGTTGGCCATCAACAAGGTTCGAGTACCGCCAATAATCATTACAGACTCAACTGTAGCATAATACGAATTCAGGAAAGGTGGCTCCAAGTCTTCTTCGATTGAAATTGTCATCACTCAAGTGCTGAGAAAACTGGGCTTACCCGACTATACGGTAGTAAGCCAAAACATTAAGCAGATCCCCACCGATGAAAATCTAGCTGACAATCTAGCTGACAAGCCATCTAGAACTTCTAGAGGCAGATCTGCTGCAACTCTGCTCGACCTGCCGCAACAAACGGGATTAAACAAGTCATAAGAGACACTGAAGACTCGCACTCGTTATATGGGTCCGAAACTATCAATACTCCCTCGCTCATCTCTGGAATGTCCGCACCATTGACAAAAACTCTCTCGACTTAATGTAAAACGATTCAACCGCGAATATTTATTTGTATAAATACTCATACATTATTTACAATTATCCATTATCCTCGCTTTGTACAAAATATTGTTTTAAATTTATTTTTACGTTAGCTTGATTTTCTTTCGAAAAATTTAAGGATGAAGCCAAAGAAAAGCACCACCTCCGAGCTTCGCAGTTGATTTCTATTGACATCCTCTCCGTTATAAACGATAGGGATAGGATCGGAAGGGTAATAATCAAGTTAACGTAAAAATAAGTGTAAAACAATATTTTAAAGAAATGTACAAAGCGACGATAATGGATGTAAATAATGTATGAGTATTTATATAAATAAATATTCGCGGATAAATCGTTCTACATTATGTCGTTTTTTTTACGGAAAACTCTTTGATATTGCTACTTCAAATTTTAATATATGGATATTTGTTCCAAGTTGAGAGTTTCCGTCGATGATGCCGACATTCCCGAGATGAGCGGGGGAGTATTGATGGTTTCGGACGCAAATAATGAGTGCAGATCTTCAGGTCTCTTATGCCTTGTTCTAGTCTCGGTTGTTGCGGCAGGTCGAACAGAGTTGCAGCTGATCTGTTACAGTCCAGGTTCTAGATGGCTCGTCGGCTGGATTTTCATCAGTGGGATCCACTTAATTAGCTTATTGCGGTGAAGTCGGGTAAGCCCAGTTCCTCAGCAGTTGCGTGATGACAATCTCAATCAAAGGAGACTTGGAGCCACCTTTCCTGAATACTTAGTATGTTATAGTTAAGTCTGTAAAGATTACTGGCGGTACACCACAATTGTTGATGGCCAGCAGTGCTCCCATTCCTACTGCCAGGATTTCCTTTGCGTTTATGTGCGATATGGCGTATATAAATAAAAAATATTAAATCATATCATATGTTTATTTGATAATAATAAAATATATTAACAATAAGTAAAAAATATAAATAAAATAAATATATATATATTTTAATAAAAATAAATAAATAGTAATTTAGGCTAAGCATATCTTACAGAGAAGGACGTTAGCTGATCAGAATAATCGGCTCAGGCTTAGCCATAGCCAAAAAAAATTTGGCTAGGCTAAACCGATTACCCAACTAGAGTTAATAATTATTAATAAATTTGTATTTTATTTAATAATGTAATAAATTTATTTTTATTTGCAATTATAATTTTAAGAAAAAAAAGATGAATAAATTATTATTTTTTTCGTGTAATTTTTGATTTTACCTATGAATGTGAGCTTAGACTAATATGATATAGTATTTCTCATAATCTAATATAAATCGGAAACCTTATCTTTGTAGCATAGCTTAGCTAGCCTCGAAAATAGTCCACAGGCTTGGTATCAGTCCTTAGTTTGGAGTAATTCAGTAATAACTAACTTGATACTTATTGGCCCTAAGTATCTGTAAGATTTTTGCAACGAATATAGGCTTAGTGTATAATAAAATTAAGCATTTCCATAATCTAATATTAAACTTTGATTAACCCTAGCCCAAATTAGGCCTCCTTATTAACTGGGCAGAAATACTTCTAGCCAATAAAATACTTTTTCTCTAATAAGGTTACCTGTGCAGAGCAAAAAAAAAATATATCATTAAATATTATTTTAAATAAGCATTCATATAGACACTATATTAAAATATGGACTTAAGCCGGTACCTGATAAAGTTTTGATTAAATTTTATTATTTAATATTCTGCTCTCAGACTTAGCTATCTAATATCTTAAAGATCTATATATCAGCCCGAAAGATGACTGAGTAAAATTTATAAAACTAAGAGACCATAACCAAAATTTAATCTTATATAAATGATAACAATTCAAAATTTCTTCAATCTAAAAGTAATTTACAATTAATAATTATCTAAGATGTATGGAAATTATATAATAAAGATGGTATGAATTAAATTCAATTAAAAAATTTGGGCCGGAATCGGGTTTATAACTAAATAAAATTTTGGGTTAAAGAAGCTCGAACAAGAAAAAATTAAATTTGCAAGGCTCTAACTAGTGAAGTAAAAATTTATATTAATTACCACCAATCCGTGATAAAGATTTCATCCTTAGCACTATATAGAGCATCAGCAACGGCAGAAAAATAACTAGCTCCGTCTACAAACCTAATTATACATATTTAAAATAAAAAATGAATAAGGCAATAAACGAGTACATATGGATGTTGTAAATATAGATAAAAATAGACCCACTAAAAAGGGAGCATTAAAGATGCCTCTCGTGATTGTTTCTTTGAAATATCTAATACATTTCTCTGAATAGCTTGGACGAAACTATGAATTAACAAAGAGGGACCGGCTTTATAGCCTTTAGTATCGGTATGGGAGTATTAGCTAACACTAAAAATTGAAAGGTGTTATTTGCTGAGTCAACTAATGAATTCTCTGATCGATCATCTGTTTCTGTGCTACTAGTCATCGAAGTCATTTGTTGGAATAATCTCCGAAATCCTGATAATTTTTAGATTTCGGTATCAAATCTATAATTACAGGTCGTATTATAGTTCCTTCAAGGTTTGAATTTATGGATTGCATCAGATGTGTTAGATTAACAATAATATCGAGAAATTGCTTTGCAATAACCCTAACGCTTTCTTATCTAGTTACTAAAGGATTTTCAATCTTATAAAATTAAATTAAATATCACCTGATTTACTTTTTAAATATATATATGTGTTTTGGAGAACAAGATACTCTCAACTTTTATCTTGGCTATAATAAAGTTTATGACTCAAAATCAACAATTAACGAAATCACCAAGCGTTAAAACTATGGAGAAATTAATACAATTAGGTATACAATGGGCATTTTGACCCGAACGCCTCTCCGCCTATTGTATTAAAAAATTTAACCCACTCGCCCGTCTGCCTATTTATCTAAAAATTTTGTTTAACCCACCTGCCCGCTCCATGTTTAGAAATCATTTGATTAGTTGTTTTGGCTCTTTTTTATTTTATATTAATATAAATTTAAATTTATAAAATATGCAATTTTTCTAGGAAAATATTTTCAATTCACCAGTTCTGCCACCAATTGTTTTAAAAATATTTTTAGACGCCCCCCCCCCTTTACCTGTTTAAAATTTTTAACCCATAGACGTGACCACTAGTATGTATTACAATTCTAGAAACTAGGAAAACAGGAAATACCGAAATTTATGATTGTTTAATTTTCTATTATTCTAACGGATGACTTTGATAGACAGGGGCAAGGCCAGCAACTGTTTCTTTATTTTATGTTACGTGAATGTTAAGTAACATTTATTTTATATATTTAAAAATAGTCTGTTTAAAATGGACATAATTTTTATAATTAGAGAGAAAGATTATAATTATATTAAAAAGTTGAAAAAAGCCCATCAAATATTGTTTTATTTTGGATTATATTTAAAAAAAAATTATCTCAATTACTTCTTTGTCTTGTATATTTTTATACTTTAGTTTTATAATAAATGAAGACTTAATGAATGGGAAGGTAATCATTTATCAGTATTATTAATAAATAGGGCATCAATCTCTTGGCCTAAAATATATAATCAATTTGCTATACCCCCACTAAGCTCATGACATTGAGAACCCCGTAGGGGGTACCATATGATACAGGCACCCCTTCAGGGAAAAACTATGCCAAGTCTAAATATTTTAAACGGCTGTGTTTTTTAGTCTAGTAAGACTAATTTAATCTTAATCATCATCCTTTCGGCGTGCGTTAATAGGATGGTTAATTTAATTTCCATTCGGTATTCATATAAAATTAATAAATTCGGAAAGTTAGATAAATTATACAGTAAATTGTAAGGTAAAATAAATAAATGGTTAGTTAAATTTGTGGTATTGTTTTCACATTCACATACCACCAGAAGCTAAATATCGTTACAATAAATTTAAAATTCTGCAAGCATCCTGTAAATTGTTCGAAATTAAAATTTTTTTTAGAATTTCACTAAAGTTTAACAATCTGTTTGCGACACATCACTAAAATATTCTGCTAATTGCATCCTACTAAGTCTAATGCAACATAAGACACCTCCATTTAATAGCCTAAATAAAGTTAAAATCACACTAATTAATACCATGGTTTAATTAGTTTCGTAGAAATCCTTAGAATTTTACCAATATTTATATTTAGCATTGTTGTAGCATTGCTTGCCTAACGTAAACAACATTAATTAGTGTTGTTAAACTGCTCAATTTGCGACGTTAAAAATAATATTTTATCCAGAACAATATTATGCAAACCTGAAGATTTTAATAGTTGAGGAAATCGACTAAAACTTTAGCACTATTCGACTAATTTGGTCGAAATTTCGTGGATCTGCTTATAATTGAATTTGTTTATTTTTAGGGCCTGGCTGGCACCAAATCTAATATTTTGTATATTTTTTTAAATTATTACTTTATTAATAGAAAATTAGGTAGATTTTTTATGTTTTCAAAAACTTTAATAAAACAAATATAATAAAAATAAATAAAATTAATAATTATAGTCTCAGTTATTTAGTGTCTAAAGTTTTAAATCGACACTAATGATAGCACAAAGGTTTGGATATCCATTACGAATTCTCGTTAAGCCATTTTTCTGACTAAAAATTGAATTCGCCGTTTTTAAAAATCGGTTCAAACACTACCATTAATACATCTTACAAATATTTTATCAAAAACCCTTAACGTTTTTTTCTTTAAAGGATTACTGTGTATACATGAAACATGGATTGGGATGGGGGGAAGGGTAGAGGCCATTTGCCTCCATATATCATTCAGGTCGGCAGGAGGCTTCTAGGGGGTAAAGAATAAGGATTAAAATATATTTGAAGAAGAGGGGAGGGGGGTAAATATAGGTATGTGGCCTCTAATTTTTTTCTCTCATGAGGATTTTGACAGATTTTAGTAATTGAATTACTAACTGCCTTGTTCTTGACTTGTGTGCCTTTAAAACATATTTATATTTTTTTTTGGATATTTATTGGGTATAAAAGGAAATAAATTTTTTGTTATTATTTTCATCAATTTAAAAAATAGATAATTATTGCGTATAGAAAAAGTGCAAAATAAATGTTTTAATAATTAGGTATGTGGTAGGAAGAGTGAGTATAAATTTATATTCTAAAAATTCTCAAAAATAGGGGGTGGAGTACACCAAATACCATGCTATTGAGCCATACAACCCGACTCCCATAAGATTCTAATGAAGTTATTGCATCATCCTCCTCCGAGAAAGATGACCACACTGATTTCCTTATCATTCACTTCAATAGCATAAATTATAAAAAAAATATTCACTTAAAAAAAGGAAAAATATAAGATCTATAAAATCAAATGAAATTGATACATAGGCAAAACTAAATTTTTTGCGGGAATTTTAAATAAAAAATATAACATTGATTATGAAAGTATAATATTTACATTATATAATGTAAATTTCAAGTTTTAATAAAACATTGGATATATAAGGTTGTCATAAAATATCTGAAATGTAATATTGATCAAGGCCAAAATAATCTATTAGCCAATTTTACTTCCGTGTTTTAATAAAAAAAATTACTCATTTAAAAAAACGAGAAGGAAAATTTTGAATTTGAACATTGAGGTGTTAATAATATAAACATTTATTAACCAAAAGAATTCAAGGAATGTAGTTATTAATGATTATTCTATGTGATATCGACAAGTGTTTCGACCACCACTCTGAAAAATGAATGAAACTTTGTAAATTGATTAAATTTTACCAAATCTAACTTTCAGAGTTCCTGTTAAGTGCTTTTAAAATCTTGGTCAGACAAAAACTTAATTTAACGAATCTCAAATTAATTAAAAAATATTGGAAAAAAGACAAATATGTTTTTAAATTTTATTTAAGTTATTTTGAAATTTTGAGAATAAAAAAAATGCTCTATTGTTACACTCTTAATTTTATTATTCTTCAGAATTTGAAAAAAAAATATACAAAAAATTTTTGAACAAGATTTTTTTAACTTTTGATTTCATTTTGAAAGATTTTTTATGCATGAAAATTACAAAAGATTTACTTTACTTCTGTTTCAAAATTATACATTATAAATAAAAACCAAAAAGCGTGAGAATCCGGTCTAACAGGCGCGAAAGACTTGTACCTTTGTTGTTGCATCATGAGTCTAGCCACGGGTGAACATAGCAGGTCTTCATTTATATGCCTTAGCCATTCGTCGGCCTCTCTTTCGTCTTTAAATTTTATTAGGAGTTTTCTAAACAAAAAAGATTTTTTTACAATTATAAAGAGAGTCGAATGATGATCTCCACAAACATAATTATGTATATAATAATATTATTTTAAAATTTAATTTATTGATTATCAAACCGCGATCTATTTTGTATAACCAATCGGTTCATTTTGAATCTCGTTCCATGTTCAACCTCTCCCAAGTCCTTATCTCCGCCTCTTTCATCGCCATCAATGCTCGTTACATTTTCGCCTAATTTATCAAAAGTACAGCAAATATAAATTTTGTCTCTCTAATATTTTGAGCACCCTTTCATCTTTAGGGTAGAATTAAGTTTTTATTAAATGAACGAGAGATATGCCAAAAAATAAATTATATAATAACATTAATATACTTATATGATTTATTCTTTATAATTTTTTTTAAAATGAATATAAAATTAACTTTTTATATTAAATTAGTTTAATAACAAAATTTATTTTATACGAATACGAATATTAAATTATTCGATTCATAAATTCTGCATTTATACGATTATTATTTTCGTTGGCCTATTGCACTATTTGTCACAAATCTTACAGTCTATAAAAGCTAAAAACATGTTCTCGAATGAATTGAAACTGTTTCAACACCCCCCCCCCCCCCATCTTCCATAGTAAAATAATTAAATTTCAGAAGTTTAAACAAAATTAAATAAAAATATTATTTTTAAAACCTGTAAGTTTAGAATTATCAAGTTCTATCATGTGTCGCACATTATCGTTTCCATAGTTTGAATAATGGTGAGAAATAAAATTTGGATTGTGGTTGTTCTTTCTAGTCATATTGTCCAACACATTCATAAATTTACTGCCTATAGGAGGCTTTGTCTGAATATGAGCTTTTGACGTTTTCGATGCCAGAAAAAAAATTAATTTATTAATAAGAATTAAAATAATCTTATAATCCTTATAGGAAATAATCTACCAATCAGTTTTTTTCGTTTTTTTCACTGTTTTTACATCCTTAATATAAAATAGATTTGGGGTACAAAAATTACGGTTATAGGGAAACAGCGTATTTTTTTAGTTAAAGCATCTGAATCTACAATTCCGCTTTTAGAAAATTATTTCATTCTTAGTTGTTACAGAAAAAAAGGCAAATATATTTCACTTAAAAAATTGTTAAAATTAAAAACAAAATTTTAGAAGCTTGAAGTTTTATATAAAAAAATAAAATTTGTCAATTTTCTAAGCCAATTATATATGGTATATTACCTTGATAGCTAACCATCTTCAAAAAACATTAAAATAGTTAAATTACCACGTTATAATATGATGTTACCTTTGAAGGAAGGGTCTAATAACATGACGCAGCTTATATTTCTGGAATTTCTAAAGCTTTCTCCTGGTATAATATCGTCGTCGAATAAGTCGTCGCAGCAGAAAAATAGATTTTTCATGCCGTTAATGCAGCATTTTTTGTCGCAATTCGATTTGCAACATTTATTTCCGCTCCTTGTAGTGGTGGGTGAGGAACTTTGATCGGCTTCCGTTATTATTTTCATGTCAGAGTAAGCAAAGTATGTATCTTTCAGAACTACCCATCTTGAATTTTTTTTAAAAATTTTTTAAAAAAATTTCTGAACATTATTCTTTTCCTTTTATGAATTATCTTAAAATTTTTTTAAAAATGTTAGTTATATTTTACCAATATTTTCCCACATGTTTCACTTAATCGAATTATTTTATAAAATAAATCTATAAACCCCCCCCCCCCCCATTTTGAGAAAACATATTAATTTCCTTAACTTTATATGAACATTTTTCATGAAGAAGGTAAATTATTTATACCTTTTTCTCCATCTGATAAAAATTTTCTTGAATAAATTCAAAGCTTTAAGCCCGTAATAGCCTCCGGATCTTTTTTTAGCAACGTCTTCGAGTCCCTTTGAACCGTATTCAGATTTGAAAGAGAGGTAACTGACTTGGCAAAACATCAACTATATTAAAGTTTATGGGTAAAATTTATTTTCCTAAACTTTTGAAAAATTTGAAGGCCATTTTTTTGGCCTTAAATAATTGCTAATATTTGCAGATAATTTTTTTAAGATGACTACTTAAATAAATTGCGTTATAATCTGATGTTCAAATTTGATAGTTTTATATTAAATTTTAATTTCGTTGTCTACTAAAGCCGGAGACTTGCAGGCCACCTAAGACCGGCCCGGGCTGTATTTTAATTTTTTTAAATATTCCCGGGCAGGCCTGAAAATTTTTTTTTAAAAAATATCCGGGCCGGGTGATTATTTTAAAATCAAATATTTGAAATCGCCATTATTAGCTATTTAAATCAAAAATAAATATATTATATTTTAAAAAAATAGGGGCCGGACCTGAAAATATAAAACCCGGGGCCGGGCCTGAAATATAAAACCCGGGGCCGGGCCTGAAATATAAAACCCGGGGCCGGGCCTGAAATATAAAACGCGGGGCTGGGCCGAAAATTTTTTTGAACTCTGATAAAAGCTAAAGAATATACGATTATTAGACTATGTATGTGTCTAATTGATATAATCCCTACTTTAAACGAATCGATCATATTTAAAATTTGTCACAAATTAATTAAACTATTTCAGGAAAAGCATAGCTTTAGGGTAACCTCGCTTTAGAAATCGAAGTTTATTATGATTTTTTTTATAAATTACGAAAAAAAAATAAATTGTTTTTTATAAGTTTACAAAACATAAATGAGCATCTTGTTGTGCATTATTTAGACATGAATTGATCAAGTTGAATTGACAAATCGATAATAGAGACGTATTGTTTGAGGTAAATCGTTGGAGTCTCACGTTTTTAGATAAATGATTTTCAAAAAATTTCAAGGTTCAAAATTCTATAGAGTGTACAATTGAATCCGGAAGTGAGTTATTAGGCACCAAAGCGCCAATACACGTGTAATCCCAAGCAAATTCTCTGCTTTCCTTGAAGAGTATAAGAGTAATGTCTTCTGGTCGCTTTCCATCTTTTGGGTTGTGAGCCATAGGTTTTAAAGTATATGAAATCTATGTTGAATCGAAATAAATTTTTCCGGGACAAATTGTTCAAAATATTTTTAAGGGGGCTGGGTCGAAGTTTTGAAAATGTTTTTAAAGTTAATAATTAGGCAAATCATGTCGTTTGCCTTTATAAAAAATTATTACGGGGCGAGCAACGGTCGTAATAAAAAGCTACGCGGTAATTTTTAATATTAATTTATTTTTATTATAGATAGATTGAACAGAACAATTTGTTTTATGGCCATAGAACTCTCGAATATAGTAATTTATAGAAAATGTTTGCCATTAGCGTAGGCAATGGAGGGGGAAATGTACAAATTTTTTACTACATCATTGTAAACAAATAAAAATTAAATGAATATAACTTCACTTCCCCCTCTTCCCCAAAAATGAAAAATAAGTAAAATATAAAAATATATATTTAGCTAATCATTTTTAAAATATTTAATTTAATACTATAATTTAAATTTTCAGTTAAAAGCGTTTATAAATTTTAATAACTAGTAAAATTATGATTAAACTATATTATTTTAAAAGAAACCTAATAAATTAGTGTAGAATTATTTTTTGAATTAAATAAAACCTAATTTTCTTAAAAATTATTTTATTTATTAGGTTATTAAAAGTTTTTTTCCCAATTATCGAATATCATTTTCGGGGTCTTTTTGAAATTTTATAAGCGGCTCCAATTCGAAAGCGATGTAAATATGAAAATATAGAATTTATAGAGTATATATATTAAATTTATTTTAAAAAATACCGTATCTTCATGATTTCTCAAGTGCTTTGAAGTTAAAATTGTCTGTAAATAGTATTCTAGTTCTCTCTGAAAAAAAGATATAAATAAATATGAATTTATTATAAGATTTAGGTCTTAATGATTGTACAGTTATAATTTAAAATTATTATAGATTAAGAAAAATTTCTGCTCAAGACTATCATGTGAAAATATCTTTAAAAATATTAGAGTCACTAGATTATTTGATTTATTTTTATTATCAGAAAGTGGTTCAAACCCAGAAATTTATATTAATTCTTTTTTTTCAAATTCTGCTGCGTGTCATATACTTCATAGCAAGCAATAGATATAAAGAAAAACAACCGTTCAAAATTTTAAGACCACATTTGAATTAAGACATTTTATTTTGGTTATTTTCAAAGTAATCAAATTTTTTTTAATTTATGTTAAAATATAAATTAATTTGGGTCTACTATCTTTTATTAATTTATCCCGACTTGACTATATCCATTCGAAACCAATATCGAATTGAGTGATGAACGAAAGTTGTTTTAATGTCAGATAGCGAGAACCAAAAATACAATTTTAAAAATTTAATTAATTTTTAATAAAACAAATAACGCCCATAATCCGTGCTATTTGAATTTCAAGTTTTCCGTCATAATTAACATCATAATTGATATAAGCTTATTTATTTTTAAATAAAATTTACTTAAAACTCTATTTAAGTCAAGGGCCTGGAACAAAAAATGTAATAACTAGCTTATTTAATTCTCGATTTAGCACGGGTGGAGATTGATTTAAACAAGTATGCAAGCGATAGAATGAAAATTGAAAGCAAAATAAAAACATATGAGCTCAAAGTTAATAATATTTATCTTGTAATCGAATAAACTTTTAAATCTGGCTAATAAAACAAATTTCGGGCCTATCAGGCGCAGTTCACTTATAAAAAAAAATAGTAACCCAATCGTTTGCCCAAAATTCCAAGAGGGTAAGGGGCCAGATAAGGTAAACAATTAAAAATTTAGAAGCGATAACTAAATCATTATTTATGAAAAATTAAAAAATAATCAAATCATAATCAATACAATATAATTTTTTTAACGAATAATAAATTTGACATTATTTGTAATAGTGAGCAGAAATTGAGCGTTTTTTGCAGTACTTTTTAATATAAAAAACGTAAAGCATCCCTTTCCATCGAGGTTGTTTTTATTAATATAGTCGATTCAAAATTTAAACTAAGTTCTAAAAAAGAATTTGTCTTTGAAAATTATATTATCTTTTGTCTTTATTGTTATGTTCTACCTCCCCCCCCCTCTTGTCCCGTATAACTTATTTCTTTAAGTTTTTCTCCACTTGTTTCTTTTGTTTTCCCATCGTCCTTTTTTTTATATTGATATTATACCTTATTTTTATATTGTATTTGAAACTGGTTCTGACCAGTTTCAAGAATGATTGTATCGCGATATTATATAACAACATGTTATTTTTTTTTCTTTGTTTGATAAATTATAAAAGGTTGCAAAAATACCTTTATTTTGGGGATTCTTTTAATTTTTTTTTTTTGTGTTAAATAAAATTCTGAAAGTTTTATTCTTTGGTAAATTTGTGATATTTTAACAATAAATTAAATTACTAAAATTACCCGATGATGACAAAGTTAAAACTCAACGTCAACCAACCAGAAAATCCCGGTCCCTCGAATTCTGCCGATCCCTCTCCCTATCCCCCGGTAGAACAGCCCGCGGTCGTGGTCGCGAACTTATCATTTATATTTCATTAATTTCTAAATATTCTATTTTAAGGTATAGATTATTTTTTTACATTTTATATAATATTATAAAGTGGAGAGTAAAAAGTGTTGAAAAAGGTGCATTTTTTTAAATGGTTGCTAACGCCAAACTGTAATTTTATCAATTTACACATGCCATTTGAAATGCATATATTGCGTTTGCAATGTAGCGTTTAAAACGCTCAATTTGTGTGCACTATATATAAACATTGCGTACGAAAATTATCGAATATTTTATACTATAATAATTTTTTGTTTTGTAAAAAAATTTTATGTAAATTATTTTAAAATTTATGAGGTAATAGTGAACGCGATTTACTCAATCGGTGCGAAATTAAACACTGCTTTATTTACAAAAGGAAGCCAATAATAGTGTATAATTTATATATATATAGAAGCAAAACGATGAAATTCTTTAAGTAAAAATTTGAAAAACTTGTTGCGATGCGATGAAAAAAAATGTACGATTATAAAAATTATTGAGAAATTAGATAAAATATTATGTAAAATAATTATCTCTATTAGAATTATCTATCAAATTATTTCTAAAAATTGAAATCCTTTAAATAATTTAATGTGAATATACATATTATTGCTGATATGATAGCAGTTTATGCTGATAAATTCAATTGTTAATAAAATTATAACGTCGGCTTTTTTTGAATAATTTAATATAATTGATATATTAAAATAATATTTTATTTCATAGGAAAGACTATTGTTATATAATCAAATCCCATCAGAAAGCTATATATAAAAATGGTAGGAAAAAGATTAAAATAAAAGGAACTACATATATTTATTTTAATTAACTCAGTATAAATTAGAAATTTTTATTTTTTAAAAAGAAGACTGTTTTTATTATACTGACTTTATAGTATGCACGATTTGCTCAAGCAGTGGGAGATTTTATGATATCAAAATCACTTTTGACACAGCGATAATATTTTTTGCAATCGCGTTATATTTTAAAAAAGGAATTTTATCTAATACAGAATTTGTACTATTAAAATAAAAATTAACTATTTAAAATATATTTTTATATAAATCAAATCTGTAAATGAAATTAATATTTTTAATATATATACATATATACATACATACTAGCAGTGGAGTAGCCAGGATTTTCCAATGGGGGGGGGGGTGTTTTGCCCGGCCTTTGGTTGGGTCCCTTATATAAAAAAGATATATTATTGATTTTACGGTGCTCTTTATATAATCTCCGTTAAGGTTGGCTGCACAAGTTCTAACTCTAAAATATGGCCTGTTTTGTGTTTTATTAGTCTATGTAGCCAGTATAAAGGATAAATTTGTTAGTAAAAAGATTTTGGCCAACCTTAGATTAAAAAGTGATTGAAAAAATTTATTCTGTAAATTTTATCAATATTTAGAGCTTAATTGTATTAATTTAATCCCTTTGGTAGACAGTATGAAGGAAAAAGAAAATTTCCAATAGATACCATGCTAAAATGAAAAATATAAACTATATATCTGACGTAAGCTAATATAATGCCTGATTGGTAGGGGAGACTGAGGCACGTTGAGTAGAGGGGGAGGTTAGGTCACTCTAATTATAATATGAGCTATTATTTTATGACTGGAAATTTGAGCCTAACATAGATAATTAAGCCATATATGTTTGGCTAAAAAAGATTTAAAAAATATTTAATATTTTAATTTTTTACAGAAGAAAATGTGTTTTAGCATATCAAAAGTAATAAAAAATAATTGCAAACTTTATCGTAGGCTTTTAAAATCTTAATAAATAAATTTTAGCAAAATTTAAACCATATTTTTCAATCTGACAAACTTACAGGATCAATAAACATGAATGATTTTGAATGATATTTATAAATTTAGTGGGCTATGTCATAGTCAGTCATGCTGTGCTACTTCACGTAGTCAAAAAGGGCTTTATCAGACCTATCGCTGCTTCGCGAACATTATTGGAGTCAGGAAAAAATTATGCACCAATAGAAAGAGGCGCGTGCACATTTGTTTGGAATGAAAAAATTTCATACTTCCATTTTTGGACAAAATTTATATTGCGAACAGATCACTAACCTTTGAAAAAATTATTTGGTGATAAACGGGAACTACCAAAAATATCCAATAGTCGACTAACACACTGGACATGGAAAATGTCGGCATATAATTTTGAAATTGAATATCGTTCAGGAAAAGAAAACATAATGGTCCAGTAACAAGTATGGAGTCGAATAACGAACAGAAACATGCATAGATATAAATCTTGGACAAGTTGAACTCCAGAAAGAAACAAAGATAGATTGTTAAATAAAGTAATTAAAAACATCGAGCGAGAATGGGTAGGGTTTGATGGGAAAAATGATGCAGAGTTAGTTTGTTTTAATAATAGTCGGGAGGAATTATCAGCAGATCGTGATATCATTGAATGTAATGGAAAGTTGGTAATTCCGATTTGAGGAAATCAATATTATCTATCATACACAGAGGTCATCCAGTAATAAATGCTATGAAATCAATTTTAGAATGTATTTACATAATAATGATAACGCACAAAATGGTGGTCTGGATATTGGCAAAGGGTTAACCCTGGGAAAAGTGGATAAGTTTTGTTATTTTGGTAATATGCTAAACGCAGATGGTTGTGTAGATTCTGTTGTTGTAAGGATCAGGCATGCATGGAAGAAGTTTAGAAAGATGTCGTCTATTCTAACAAAGAAAAAAGTTTCTCTGAAGTTAAAGGGGAAAGTTTACGTAACTGTGTGAGGAGTTGTTTAGTTCATGGCGACGAAACATGGGCAATGAAAGCGACCCACGAAGCCAAATTAGAAAGAACTGAGATGAGGATGATTAGATGGAAATGTGGGGTATCTCTGAGAGAGAAAGAGAAACAAGCAAGGAATTGCGAGTAATATTGGGTATAGAAATGATTGGAGTGGTAATGCGACGAAATAGACTAAGATGGTTTGGGCATGTGAAACGTATGGCTAAAGATGATTGGGTAAAGAGATGCACCAAATTGTTGGTAGCCTAATTGCGATAAAGACATTGAACATGTTCGTCAATGTACCATCGAATATAATGAAGGTTCCTCTATATTAATGGAACATCTCTAATATACCATGGGAACGTATTCATTTAGATTTCGCGGGACGTATCAATTCATATTCATGGTTAGTTGGAGTTGATGCACATGCTAAATGGGTTGAGGTCGAGTTGATGAGAGAGATCACATCTACAACAATGATTAGGGCACTTAGGAAATGGTTCGCACGTTTTGGAACGTCAAGACAAATCGTGTCAACCCTCAGTTTATTCCTAGAGAATTTTGAAGATTCTGTTTAGAGAAAAATATTGAATTAATACATTAAACATCATACGATCCCAAAACAAATGGGTTAGCTGAAAGAATAATACGAACGCTTAAAAGTCGATATTTTGCCACTAGAAAAGAAATTAAGGAGCCAGAGGAAGCTATAAGAGAAGTTTTGACAGTACACAGAATGGGCGCGCCTCAATCAACTGGACTTTCACGTAATCTAAAAACTGGATTAAAAATTATCATATTATTTGTGGAAAAAATTTGATAAAAGATTTGTCTAATTAGTAACTTTTACTATGTGATATATATTTGATTGTAAAATAAATGTTATCATAATACTAAAAGTGATGCATGTACAATTTAGATATTTAATTGTAATGGATAGATGTATATGATATATGCGATATATTTGAGGTTTAATTGGAAAACAGATAAAGTATTTGATGGTGATTGATAAATATATATGTGATATTTAATTGTAATGGATAAATGTATATGGGATATATTTGAAATTTAATTTGCAATTAAATATTTAAAGTATTTAATTGTTATGGATAAATATATGTGTGATATATATTTGAATGTAAAGTTATCATTGAGATGGGTGCGAGATGATAATTGATAAATCATGTAAATTAAAATTTCTTTTCATTTTTATTAGATAGTACAATATTCCCTGTCCAACAATTGTAATTATATTTCTGTCTTTATTTTTTTTAACAATTAAATTTTTTTTTAAAAAATTAAAATATGCTATTTAGTTACCTATAATCTATATAGTTTTAATAGCAATTATGCCATTAATTATGAATACATAACAAAATTGTAGTTATACGTAATATATGCAGTTTTTATCATGATTATGACACCAAAGATCATATTTTTTTATGTTTACCAATGTTCAATGATCATCTTAAAAATAATACATCTGATGATTTTTTTTTAAATCAAAATTTTTTTTGATACAAAATATCACATTGATTCCATATATCTAAAGGAATTGTAGTTAGATGTAATATATATTTTGATTGTTAATCTTTGATAAAGAAATATATGTTTCATTTAACCCCTTATATGTTTAATTTAACCCCTGATGTGAGATGAAAAATGGTGTAGATATGGGAGTATTGATGACCAAGAGCTATTACTGAATGGAAAAGCCTGAAAAGATTATGGGAAGATGATATCAAATAACTGATGAGGAATGAAGCAAATTTTGGAAAGATTATATGAAAAATGAAGAATATCTTAGAAATTAAATGATATATTGTTTTTTTTGAGAATGTAACACGTGGCTTCTGAAGGGTCGGCGTGTTGTAGTTTTGTATTTTTGTTATGTATTTGTGACGAAGCGTCAAGTTTACTACTAGGGAAGCAATCAAAAAAAAATTTATTTTTATTTTAGTCAAACTCAAACCATAAAAACATTAAAATTTATAAATAAATGGTATTCGTCTTTGTTTTTGAGTATAATGATCAAGTACTGCATTATAAAAGTTATCGCTAGATTTTAAATATTTAAATATTTTGTTTTCAATCGATATCAAAGATAGATTCGATAATCGATTTTGGCTCTTCCTGTTTCTGCAATAAGATTTAATTCTTTATAAAGATGAAAAACTCAGTTCTGCACTTGCTGTTGTTGAAGCCAAAGTTAAGATGAATTTGCAAAACTCATTAAAACTTTTGATCAAATCAGTGCATAATAAAAATTCAAGTATTTCATTAACATTCTTTTTCTTTCTAAATTCATCGTCCCGAAACACTACCTTTAATTCGGTTTCCAGCTTGTGTAAGTCGAAAAATTGAGAATAATTGTCGTTTAAATTATCTAATAAATATTTTGGGAAATTATGATTAAATATTTGGAATTTACTAATATCTAACAATTCGACGAATTCGATATTTTTTAATGTATCCAACTGAAAATTAATTTCGTTGATTATATTATCTGTTATTTTAATTATCCAATTTTTATAAAATTCTTTTGTATTGGGCAATCCGGTTCTATTACGTTTTTTATCTAAATTGTCTTCAATATTTTCTTTTACATTTAAATTTCTCAAAAACACATCAAAGTTTTCTATGTTTGATTTAACTGAATTTCTGAAATCGTTAATACTTTTATAAGAGATATCGTTAATTTTAGTTTGAAGTATATCAAATAATAAATCAGATTCTGGAAAAATTTCTTGAATAAAATTAAAAAATTTGCATCATTTAATATATATATTTAGTAGCTGCGAGAAGTTATTAATAGAACATCATTATCCCAAACAATATCAGATTCTTCAGCAACCATACTTTCAAAAAAAACGACTAGATCCTTCAAATAATTGAAAACTGTTTGAACCAGCCGACCATTGTATTCCCATCTCGTTTGGGCTACTCGTGGTAACCTTTTTTGACATATTTATCAAATTCCGCTGTTCGCTTAGATGATGTACTAAAAAAATGGCTAAACCAGATAAAGTTGCAAAAAAACCTTACATTTTTTAATTTTGATGCAAGATTTTGATAATATAAGATTTAACTTATAGCAAAAGCAATGAATATAAAGTGCTGAAGGATTGATGTCTCTTATTTTCGTTTGTAGTCCATGTGAATCGCCTGACATAACAACTACTATTGTAACTTTGACCTATTAATTTTTTTATTCAAGAATTTAATGACAAATTTTGATAAAGAATTAGCATCTCGATGCATAGTAACATCGAAGAATTCAATAAATCTTTCATACAATGTCCCGTTATTTAAAAAATATTGAAGAACTACAGCCATTTGAGATTTATTATTGATATCTGTTGTTTCATATAATATTATTGATATAAATTCCGTTTCTTCTAATCCATTTAATTTTTTTAGAGGATTATTGTAAAAAAGAAGATCAAATGTTCTTTTGTTGATGGATTTTTGGATATTGTTGGTATATGTATATAATATATATTTTTCGAGATATATTATGATTATTTGATTTTTAATTTTTGATGATTTTATTAATTAATAAAGTGAATAAAAACTTGATTTGAAATATTCAATATTCAGTCTGCAAATATAATATTCAATATTCCTTTTGCGACAGAAGGCAGCTCGTGATAAACATATTCAAGTAAAAGAATTCGAGGTCACAACCTGTATGTGTACATAATGAAATCAATTCAGGGTGAAGAGAGGAAATTATAAAATCGAAAACTGGTAGATATTCCTATTCGGTGAAAGTAAAGATAGAACGATACAAAAGCATGCTGATCAACTGCGAAAACGGGATGTAGCGAAAGAAATGAAGAAGTCAGAGAGGAAGAGTTGGAAATAGTTGACATTTGGAAAATGTAGAAGGACCACCTATAGAGGGAGAAAATGATGAAAGAAAATTCGAGTCCACAGGATATATTTTCATTATCTCGAGAACTAGAAACAACTATGAGGCAGAAATCACAACGATCGAGGAAGCCCATACATCGTCTGATTGAGGAATTTTAAAAAGTGAGGGGAAATGTGATAAATGCTATATAAGATATTATTATATTAATCACTTTATATTAGTTTATTTGGATTGTATTATCATGATTATCGTATATATAATTGACGATTATAATGTGATTAAAGTGAATGCAACCAATAAAGTTGTATTATAATTTAGTATAATATTTAAATTAAAATAAAATCAATATTCAAAAAGCTAAATTAATAATAATTAAAATATTCATTTCACACTTAAAAATTATTAACTTGTTCATAGGATTTTTATTTTGATATTAAAAATCTCTCCTCATTTAAATTGTCATTATTTATAAACTAAATTTATAATATATTTTATAAGATACAATTTACTTGTTTATATACACTGCGAATTAATTTTATTATAATAAATTTAAAAATATTTTTTTTATACGTGGTATAGATATAGATTACTATTTTTTGAGCATACATATATGAAAAATACTAATATGATTTATCAGTATATTTAAAAGAATATTTCAAATGGTTACTTTTTATCTTAATCGTACAAGTATACAAATTCTATATTCGATTAAATTGCTTTTCGAAATAGAAGGCAATGGGGAAAAATATTATCGCTGTGACGAATCATGTTCAATAGCGTTGAATTTCGCATCATTCAGCAAAACGCAGCGTAATGTTTAAAAAATTTTTACCCGAGGTCTTAGATCTACTTATGGTATTTACATTTTTTTGTTTTTGTTAACTTCTTAAATAAAATACTATTTAATATGAAGAATTAAGGCATATAAAAAAATTATTACCATGATCTTTGGCATTTGCCTGTGGTTCAGGTAAGCGTCTATAAATGGAGGCAAATGAGGTATGACCAAGCCAGCTCTAATTTAAAAAATTATATAAAAAAATATATTAAATTCATTCAACATCAGCGCATTCATTCATTAATTTATTTATAAGATGAGGATCGTGCCTAATCTGCATAAACTTATAAATGGCTACATGCGAATTCGGCGAGGTCAATTCGGCATTTAATTAAAATTTCATATACTAATTATGTATTCTCATATTATTAATAGATTTAATATAAAAAATAATTTATTATAAATATCCTGATATTTTGGAGGACCAACCAACCAAGTTATAATGTTGGTTCAAAAATTATTTTTATATCTATTAGAGTCTCATGCCATTTGTTATTTTTATTTCGGTAAAAAGACCAACATGTTTTAGATAAAAATTTCTTTAATTATAAATTTATAGTCTTTAATGTTATTATTTAAAATTTTTACAAATTAGCAAATATAGTGTGGCCACTAATTATATAAAATCCCGCTTTTTTAAAATTAGATATCGGATAAAACATAATAAATTTAAAACGGGAGTGGAATGAAAGGTTGGCACAAAGCGTTCTATCATCGTATCATCCTTCTACTTGGAAATGTTTAGCTCTACATTTAGAGCAATCGTTTAATGAAGCAAAAATTGAACAGTATATTACTGGTGTACTCAACCCCCGAAATCAAGAAAGGTCTATCGCGATACTGCCCAAAATATTGAATTTATTGTATCTGATTATTCGAATCGCCCAATTATTGAATATTTAAGGTGAATCGCTAATTTTAGTTTACAAGAATATTAAATTATTTTAAAATATACTATGCATATTCTGGATACATTTTATAAATATTAAATAAAAATTGTGGAATAAGTTAAATTAGCTTAATAATTTCATCATTATTTACTTTTTTAAATAATTAATATTTCACTTTGTTATTTTAAATTGTAATAAAACGTGCATCTAACGCTTGGGGGAAAAATGATTGGTTAAATGATCCATATCCAACCCTCATTTAAAACTGTTATATCCTACTCTAATCCTTATACATATTCATAAGGCTATGAATCTTTTAAAAACTATGCAAGTTGATTTTTAGTAAATCTAAATAAGTGTTAGTCTTAGAGTAAAAAAATTATTTTCACGTCAAAATTTTGTTACAATCGTTGGACATACATTTTTAAATATTATTGCACTTATCGGATTGACCACTAAATGTCCGTGGTAACTAGTGTTGTTAAACAGCTCGTTTTGAGCCGATTTCTAAAAGCGGCTAACTCAATATTTCATCCAGAATAATATTACTCAAGCATGAAGATTTTGTTTGTAGGAGGAACAAAGGTTTGGACAACTATTAGCGAAATCTCGAGACTTAGGCAATATTTTTCTGGCTAAAATATTGAGTTAGCCGTTTTTAAAAATCGGCTCAAAACGAGCCGTTTAACAACACTAGTGGTAACCAGTATATATTAACGAGGTTTTGTCATTATAGTGCCATAACATGTTGAACTTTTCACCGAAAGTATTACAACTATTAATGACAGCTTCTGGCATGAGACGAAAATAAATTTTTAAAAAAAGTTTTTGGACCTAAAAAATTCAGGATGCTATATGTATATTAAATCTATTTATAATATGAGAATACATAATTAATAAATGATATTTTAATTTAATAAAAGCTGAATTTTCGCTGCGCCAAATTGACCGATAAAGATATACAACGATTAAATATATTAAGTAAAAGTACGCTCTAAAGAGTAAATGCTGCTTCGCGCTATGCAATTTGAGGTTGGCATGAAGGGCTTGGAAATCTTTGTATCTTTTGTAAACATTCCATTGATACTTAGAGTGACTAAAATTTATGACGTATCTTTGAGGGAAAAAAAGAAGAATATAATATATAGTATTAAATTTTATAGATTTTAAGAATTTTCTGGTTCTAGGTCTTGATATTTAATGCGATTTATTTTTAATTTATAATAGGTATTTTTAAATAAATGTAATAAAATCATATAAATTATTTTAAAAAAACCACATTATACATTCAATGGCATGGCCTTTCAAAGCAATATTTTAAATAATTTAGGTAATGAAATTTAAAAAACATATAACAGAAAATTTATTAATAATTTTTCTTTTCTCTTTTACATTTTATCTTGTAAGATATTACTAGCATATACAAATTAAAATTACGATTGATGTTGCTAATCATCTTTTGATAGATAAAATCTATATTTATACTGGGGAGATGTCTTAATTTTATTTTGACTAATGGGAATAAATTTATTAGTCTATTTAGTTATATAAACTAAACTATAAAAAAAATCAGAATCAGATAACTGTAAAAAGTAGAATTAATATTTCTAATCCATTGCTTAATTTCCCAATTTTATATGGTATACAATTAGGTCCGTAACGATATTAAATATCAGTATCGGATCGGCTACAATATTAGTAGGGGTGTACCGATACCAGGTTTTGGAGGCCGATCCGTTCCGATATCATTTCTTATTTTGTATTCTGTAAAGATAACAATGGTTTTAATTTTTAATTACTTTTTATTAGTATAATATCTATAATTTAACTATACCATAACTCATGTCATATTCAATTCAATTGCAATTCTAAAAGTATATAAAATAATTTTATTGTTAAATTACTTTTAAATAATAAGTAATAACATTAATCTATAAACATAATAAGTAATAAACAATTATATAAAGAAATTTGAAATTAATATTTAAAATAATATTTAACATTAATATATCGAAGATATCTTTTTAGAAATACCAATATTACAATTTATCAGAGGTCAGCCTGCGGCGATGGTAACTGTCAATATCACCGGCTTCCCTAAAAACAGATTCTGAAGAGATTATCGCGCACTTTTATAAACAGAATGCGCAAAAAAATAACAATATGGCAGAATGTTTATTAATTAATTATTATTATTAAAAAAATAAACTTAAAAATGGATTTCGATTTTATTTATAAAAATAAATGATTTTAAATGTAACTTTTTTTAAAAATTTTATTTTTGTTAAAAATGCCATTTTTTATCGAATCGGATCGGAAAATTTTATAATAGTGGCCCATAATCAATATTTTAAAATGGGTAATATATCGGCCCGATCCGATATAAAATATCGGTACATCCCTAGATATTAGACTTTAAAAGAATATCGGATAGGCCGATATTTTTTCTATTTTTATTTTTGAATTTATTTCCGTTTCTCATATTCAAAACTCTCATAAAAAGGTGTTAGGGAAGGTGGCACTCATAAAATAAAAATCATGCGAATTTAAATTTCATTAATTTAACAAGATATCAATATTTATCTCCAAATTTTAATTATTCTATATTTCATTATTTTATTTTATTAATTGATATTTTATTTGTTTTTACTTTTTATTCAAAAGATACATAGTTTGTTATACAATAAGAATATATACTATGTGCTAGCATATAAATTTATATTTTATTTGTATTATTAAAGCTAAATTAGATAAGTGAAAATTTGATCATTATTAATAAAAAGAATATGGAATTATATGTATAATTATTCTTTAAGAATTATCTTGATAAAATAAGACATTAGTTACTATTTATAAATACAAATTTAAAGATAAGACATATTTTTTAAAGTTTTAAAACTGATATTTTTTTTGATTTATAAGAGCCAGACAGATTTTTATTATATCATCTTAAAAAAATCAATGGAATTATCGGTATCGGATAAGTGCCGTTTGAAATAAATATCGGATAGGTGAAAAATTTGTGGATCGGTGCAGCCGTATATACAATTCAATATATAAAAAATTTTACACGTTAGGATTGAGTAGATTTCCTTTAGGCATGTGAATGTAATGAGATATCCGGACTTCTATGGAACAGTTAGGCAACCATACTTGCTTCCGCATGCGAAAAAACATGGGCTGACTTATCATTGCAAAAGGAAGGATAGATGGAGCTAAAAATATTTCAGATAATTTAAATGTAATACTATTCCTTTTACTAAAATTGCCTAAAATTTTTGTTGTTTGGGGATGATTTAAGCCTCTATTAGTTCCTATAACTCAATTATTTTAAAAATGTTAGGAATGAACTAAGTAACAATATAACTTAACGTAAAATTTTCGTTATTTTAATGATTTTACAGCTTAAAAAAAATTTGCTGCAAATATATATGACTTATAAAACTGGCCTCACATATAATTTTTTCAAATTTCAGCTTCAAATGCGATTAATTCTTACACGGGTGTACCCATTTTAAAATGCAACTGCCATTCACTCGAATATATCGATACTCAGTATCATTGCATTTCTGGTTTCCATAATTCATATATAGTTTTGACAATATAATTGTTATATAAATTTTATTTTCCTACGTTTTTTTGTTTTTTTTATTATAATATGGAAGATTGGGAATAAGTGGCCATGTTTTTGCTCGTGTCAGATAAAAGGTTCAAAGATTGCTTTTATTAAAAATTTAGTATTAATCTGTAGCTCAAAAATTAATCGATAAAATAAAAATTGAAATCTAAGCTCTTTGTAGTAGTTTAATTTAATTTAGACAATAATTTTTTGGCAAGTCAACCCCGTACTTAGGTTCCGCTTTTTTTAACGAATATAGCATAAAGTTGAATATAAAATATTATAAAATAATCCCTGAACAAAAATTAAAAATATATAAAACGAGATTTTTACTCAGCTATGCCATATTTTATTATATAGTGTTAATCAATCATATAAATTAGAGATCAGCAAAGCAAAGCCGAGGGCCGGGCCTGAATAGTAAAAAATTATAATGACCCGGGACGAGCTAAAGTTACAACGATCTGGGCAATTAGTACATAAAGGTTTTTCGGGCCGGAAAATTTATAACTAAAAAATCAGGCAGGCCCTCGCAATTCTGATTTATCATCAAACTTTAAAAGACCAGCCCCAGCATTAAAATATTGATATAATTTTTTTATTAAGCAGAAACCTGCAAGACCCGCCGGTATTTTGATTATTTTAAATATACCCAGGCCGGACCTGGCCTAAATTTTTTTTAAATACCCGGACAGGGTGTGAAAATTATTTTTTTAAGAAACTCGAGGTGGGCCAAAAAAAAATTGAAAAATAAATCAGCGCCGGGCCGTGCAAATGTCAGCAGGTCTCTGATTTCAAGAATAGTTTTATTTTTATTGATGCTATTGAAAATAAATTTCATTGTATTTTAAGAGATGTCTAACTAAAATATCAGAGACCTGCAGAGGTACTATTTGCACGACCCTGCCCGGTTTTTTTTTTAAAAAATTTTCAGACCCGCCCGGTTTTATTTAATATTTATTTTTGATTTTTATAGCTAATAATGGCGATTTCAAATATTTGGCTTTAAAATATCCGGCCCGGCCGGGATATTTTTTTTAAAAAATTTTCAGCCCGCCCGGGTATATTTAAAAAATTAAAATCATCGGGCCGGGCCTGCAGCTCTCTGTAAAATACTAAGTCAAAATATAGTAAATTGACAAAAGATTCAAGTTATTTAAGATATGATCTCATTACAAATACACAAAACAGATATCAAACAAAACTGATTTATAAAACGGTTATTGCAGAAAAAAAATGGATAGCCATAGAAAAAAGATATAGGAGCCTTTAATTCACATTAGGAAAAAGTTAGATATTTAACTGAAAATTCATAATTTTAACGGGTCAGGCCTGATTTTTAATAAAAATTCTACAGGGAAGACTGGACAATTTATGAAAAAATTCTTAATAGACAGAAATGGGTCCGGTCGAGCCTGGATTTGAATAATTTAATATATAAAAAGTTAAGGGGGTAGCCAGTCAACACCTCTGACCAATTAATTAAATCCCCAACATAATAACATATGATATAAAATAAATATAATTGTTTCTAGACTCCAACAAAATTGAAATAATCTTAATGAATAGAATAAATATAAGAATATTAATGTTATCAAACTATCCTAATTATATAAAAATCTAAGCCGAAATGGATTAAAAGTGGAATCTATTGTTATGATTATGAACCTAATCGTAACCGAGCCGTGATGGCTAAATTTAAACAGCCGGAAATTAATCTAACCATTGGTTTAGGTCGTCCCTTCTCAAAATAAAACATTTGTCGAGGAGATTTTTGAATAAAATTTTTTTTAAAAAAATATCTACAAGATTTTATCTTTTATAGGAAGGTTAAATTCGTTAAAAAAAATAAACTTACTAATTACTTTATAATAAATATTAGAAAATAATGTATATGCAATGATACTTATTGGAATGGCATCGATGTTAAAATCTGATGGGAGAGACAAACTTGCTTATATAAAATAATTATTTACCTTTTTGAAATAACCAAATTTTAAAGTAGGAAAAAAAATTTGGGACCAAATTTTAAAGTAAAAAAAAGAGTTTGTGATTTTTATAAACCGTCAATCTCATTAGGCTATTTTAACGATTATTTTTATCATGCGATCTATCATAGTAAATTACTCGTACGACAAAATACGCGTTTATTTTTGTGCAAGGACACTCCTATTAAAATATGTTTTTATTCGTTTCCCTTATAATAGTTTTTCAAAATTTTATATTATTTTACTTGGAGGTGTCAGATCCTCAATTTCTGCTTTACAAACTCTATCAGAATTACTGCCACTGGGAATGGTTGAGTTAATCAATTGAGAAATCGTGTTCATTAGTGTCGGAGGGAGAAAAACGTTGACTAGATATAAATGTTACATGAATCTAACATTTGAGAAATCGTGTTCATTATTTATGAATTCGTCTAAATAAAATCTTGACTAGAAGATATGGATGTGATTTTGAGGAATAAATTTTCAATACCCCTTTATTACATTCGTTTTGTTTAATTTTGAAGAACAAATTATGATCGTTAATTTATTACTAAATACATTGACAAATTAAAATAGAATAAGTGATTCTGGGAAGATTGAACGGATTTATGAATATAAAAGTATTACATGTTCCTTTTGAATAGGTAATTTTTTTTAGTTAATTCGATATTTTTTCGTAAAAATTTTTTATCTATATTTTTTTTCCATGTATTTATCGGTTTTATAGATATATATTTTAATAATTAATCAATAAAAAAAATTATTTCCATTATTGCACAATAGCGAATTTGAAAAATAAGGTTTTATAGATGACTTTTTTTTTTACTAGTAGAGAATGCTTAATTAGGTAATAAAATTTGAGAATTTTAACGATTTATTTTTTTCTAAATTAAAATAAATACTTTAAATTTTTTGCTAATAAAGCATCTTAAAATTCAACTATTTTAAAATCTGAATTATAGTATTTAATTAATATATAAATTTAATAAATTATAGGAAAAAAAATTTTAAGTGATTATTTATTTGCTTTTTCAATCTATTGAAGCACCTTGATATTATTTGTCTGATTGCACTTTGTTTATTTTAAGAAATAAAAATAATTTTAAAATATGTTTTAAAAGAATTTCATTATAGATATTATTGGAATTGTAAAGGAATGTGAAGTTCGGAATTTTGCAAGTCCCTTTTGAACACTGAGCATCTAAAATTGTAAGCAAAAATGCACAAAATATTTGTAAAATATAATTAACAAAATAAATAATATTTAAAAAATTTATATAAATATTGATATTTGTTTCAAGGGAAAATATTTTTTTATGTTTTGTTTATTATTTTCACATAATCAATATATATAAAATGCTAATTATTCAAACAAAGAATAAATAGTGTAAAGGTCACATAATTTAATTTTTATAATCATAAATTTCATATTTTTATAATTTGCTATAGTAATATAAATAAATTTATAACTTACAAAATAGGGATTAAAATAATAAAATATTTTATTTGACCTATGCTAAATTAAGGACATAATGATGGAATAGGTAATTATTTTATTTATCAAATTAATTTTATTTTAAAACATATAAACAATTGGAGAAATGAAATTTTATAATTTATACATAGATGTTTCTATTATCTGTAAATCCCACTATGCTTTATGATTTTGTAATTATTTCCTTACATTAATCTAGGACTTGCTATATAGGAAGGTTATGTAAATTATACAGAAGCCTATCTTCTGTATAATTATATTAATTTTTTGACAATGATAGAAACAAACCTCATAACCAAATAAGGAAGCATATTAGGGGTGGCACTAAAAACCTACCACAAATCATGGTTGTACTTACATCTCTAACAAAAATGACTAGTAAGTGGTTGAACATAGTTTGAAACTAGGGTTAAGTTATTCCATAATAAAGCAGAGTAATAGTTTGTTTGAAAGGGACTTATTAGTGCTTTTTTGTGTTATTTATTTTGAATAGTTTTTAAAATATTTTATTGTATTTGATAATATAAAGAATTTGGGATATTAATTTCAGCTAGTGAAGTAATAGTAGATACTTACTGTAATCGAATCTCAGGCCCTATATTATCATTCACGGTGTATTTGTAAGGTTAATAATGCTTACTACCAAGTGAATGTATGGAAATATTTTAAATACCAATCTAATTTGCTAAATACCGACCAAAATTTATTAAAATGTAATAAGACCCTTATTATTTAATATATTAATACGGAATCACGTGGTCGAGTCCGGCCTCCTATATATTATCCCCCCCAAGGATGGAACCACCAAGTTAGAATAAGAAAAAAAGATGATCATTCCCGGGATTCGAACCCGGGAGCATGAGATAATTAAGTCTTGCCTACTAAGCCATAGAGGCTTTCCAAATATCACGATTTTTCAAATATATATTATAAATATATTTGGTAGTGCCTATCCAAATGAAAAATGAACAAAATTCAAATTTGATAGATGGTACCTTAAGGTAGTAAGCATCATTAACCTATTTATAAAATTATATCATTGATTTGGTATCAAGTCAAAAGGCCTAAAATAGATTGCTGGTTAACCCAATGACATATATGTCATTGATAACTATAGATTGGCGATTCATTCACTAGAATGTATTGATATTACAAATTGAGTATCTGATTGGCACAGGTATAAATATATTATCAATTTGTTGTTAATCAGTAAATTTTAAGAGAATATTATATATTGCTAAACTAATAGACTCCTTTTACTTTTGAGAAATATGTAGAATGTTGTAAAATTTTTCAAAATATATTTAAATGATTGAGGCATTTGATCAAATGACAAGTTACAAAATGGTACTACTGCTCATTTCAATGTGAGAACGCTTTAATGAAAGAATCGCCATTCGATAGTTATAATCATTGATCACAACTCAAGATATGTTAAACTCAACAATTTATATATATATATATATATATGTATTATAAAAGTCATAACTATAAACTTCCAATTGTAAACGTCCAATTTATTCACAAAAATATCTAATTAGTATCATAAACGGGTAATATAAACATTAATATAAAAATATGTAAACCAAAAACCAATAACTATTCCATTATGATCCAAGACATCCAATATATATTCTTTGTTCTTCCCCAGCTGGCATTCCGTGATCTCCCCATTCCTCCTTCTTTCCCCAAGGGAAATTAATTGTTCATGTCATCAAAATGACTGACATTTAGTATCTATTATAATAATCTTCAAAAAACGTCAATCAAATTTAGCCAAAAGTGTTTTTTTAAAAAAAATTCGTCCAATAAAATGATTATAGGGTAATCGATCCAATAGTAATCATGTAACAACCTTAACATTCATTCAATTTTATAACACATTTTACCATCTTCACTTCATAAGGCTCATTAGTGCTTCAATCCGTATAGTAGCCGAATTTAAGCAATCCGTATAGTAGCCGAATTTAAGGAAAAAAGTTATAGGCAAAAATATAAATTTGTGCCAACTTCACGCTTAATAGTTGATTGAAAGCACTAACGATGAAACTTATATCATTCTTTAGTGCTTCGTTAGTAAAGGTTAGTGCTTGAATCAGTTTTGTTGTGGAATTTAAGAATAAAAAGTTATTGGCGAAAAAAACAAAAATAAACACATATTGGCGACGTGCCAAAACAAAAACTAGAGTAGTACTAAACATCCAGTTTTCGCCATTATTTAGTGCTTAGTTAATGTATTTAAATTCCGTTATTAATTTAGTTAACCGCCATATGGAAAAAAAGTTATTAGCTAAATAAAAATTATGACGTCACGATTTAAGCGTGAAGTTGGTCGAACTTTTTGAAGCACTAACGATGAAACTTATATCATTCTTTAGTGCTTCTTTAGTAGAGGTTAGTGCTTCAATCACTTTTGTTGCCGAATTAAAGAATAAAAAGTTATTGACGAAAAAAACAAAAATAAACAAATATTGGCGACGTGCCAAAACACTAGAGTAGTACTAAACATCCAGTTTTCCCCATTATTTAGTGATTAGTTAATGTATTTAAATTCCGTTATTATTTAGTTAACCGCCATATGGAAAAAATTTATTAGCTAAATAAAAATTATGACCTCACGATTTAAGAGTAAAGCTGGCCGAACTTTTGGAAGCACTAACGATGAAACTTATATCATTCTTTAGTGCTTCGTTAGTAGAGGTTAGTGCTTCAATCACTGTTTCATCGTTAGTGCTTCCAAAAGTAGAGGTTAGTGCTTCAATCACTTTTGTTGCTGAATTTAAGAATAAAAAGTTATTGGCGAAAAAAATAAAAATAAATTAATATTGGCGACGTGCCATAACAAAAACTAGAGTAGTATTAAACATCCAGTTTTCCCCATTTAGTGCTTAGTTAATGTATTTAAATTCCGTTATTAATTTAGTTAACCGCCATATGGAAAAAACTTATTAGCTAAATAAAAATTATAACGTGATTTAAGCGTGAAGTTGGCCGAACTTTTGGAAGCACTAACGATGAAACTTATATCATTCTTTAGTGCTTCGTTAGTAGAGGTTAGTGCTTCAACCACTTTTGTTGCCGAATTTAAGAATAAAAAGTTATTGGCGAAAAAAACAAAAATAAACAAATATTGGCGACGTGCCAAAATAAAAACTAGACTAGTACTAAACATCCAGTTTTCGCCATTATTTAATGCTTAATTAATGAATTTAAATTCCGTTATTAATTTAGTTAACCGCCATATGGAAAAAAAGTTATTAGCTAAATAAAAATTATGACGTCACGATATAAGCGTGAAGTTGGCCGAACTTTTGGAAGCACTAACGATGAAACTTATATCATTCTTTAGTGCTTTGTTAGTAGAGGTAATTGCTTCAAACACTTTTGTTGCCGAATTTAAGAATAAAAGGTTATTGGTGAAAAAAACAAAAATAAACAAATATTGGCGACGTGCCAAAACAAAAACTAGAGTAATACTAAACATCCGGTTTTCTCCATTATTTAGTGCTTAATTAATGTATTTAAATTCCGTTATTAACTTGGATAACCGTCGTATGAAAAAATCGTAATACGCTAAAGAAATATTTAGAGGTCAAATTTTGGCCAGAAAATTATGAAAGCACTAACGATGAAATTTATATCCTTCTTTAGGGCTTCCTTAGTAGAGGTTAGTGCTTTCATTACTTTTGTAGCCAAATTTAAGAATAAAAAGTTATTTGCGAAAAAAGCAAATAATGGCGACGTGCCAAAACAAAAACTATAGTAGTACTAAACATCCGGTTTTCGCCATTATTTAGTGCTTAATTAGCAAATTTGAATTCCGTAATTAATTTGGTTAACCGTCTTTATGAAAAATTGTAATACGTTAAAGAAATGTTTAGAGGTCAAATTATGGCCAGAAAATTATGAAAGCACTAACGATGAATTTTATATCCTTCTTTAGGGCTTCCATAGTAGAGGTTAGTTCAATTACTTTTGTAGCCGAATTTAAAAATAAAAAGTTATTTGCGAAAAAAACAAATAATGGCGACGTGCAAAAA